CGCCCGATCCTCTTATGCGCGCAGAGCTGTCGGTTCACGGTGTCGTGCGTGCATGAGGTGCGTAGGATAGTGCGAAGCCACAGCCACAGCCACAGCCACATCCATTTCCAGCCACAGCCGCAAGCCACGACCAGCCACAGCGATAGCCACAGCTCGCAGACCTCCAGTTCCTCCAAGCTTCGATTCCCCCGACCAGACTCCCGACTCCAGCAAATTCATGAACTCTATCACCACCACCATCGCCATCGCCATCGCCATCGCCAGATCCCCCCCCTTCCGTGACCCATCAGGGCAGGAAATAATCCCCGCCGTCGCTCGCGACTGGTCTGACATCATCATCACGCCTGCTCCAGTCCACAAGTTTCCAGTCCACTCCTCGAGTACATACTCCGATAGTCGACCATTACCACGATCCCTCAGTCCCCAAAACTCTTCTCATACCTACTCTACATAAAAAGGTTTTCGAGCGACTGCGCGCCAGCTGCAGGTCACAGCCATTCACAGCCGGTCCCAACGGCACGGTGCGATCCGGACGTGAGTGTGTGGCATTCTTGCTGCCGCGCCTCGAAGCGGAAGTGCTCACACTGCTCTGGGAAAGATGGGGTGCGCCGCAGGTGGGCTGGGAAAAAAACGAAGGGGCGGTAGGGAAGGGTGGTAGAGAAGGGTGGCAGCGAAGCGGATGAGGCGGCTCCGCGGAGGTGTCTGTCGAGTCGACCCATGATCACGGATTCACGGCGTGCGGGAATGATGCAAGCACTGGCAGCAGTAGGAGTGCAAGCAGCAGACGCACTACCGAAATGCGGGGAGGCCTGGAGTCTGCTAGTGCCATGTATCTATGTGGGTGACATGATGACTGGCTGGCTGGCTGGAGGAGTTTGAGCAGCGAGCTTGGTTGGTGCCGAGAAAGTACTCCAGCTAACTACAGCTACTGAGCGAGCTACAAGGAAGAAGTAGAACTGTAGAAGTGGTCGCCGACGTCGGCGCTGCAACGTACATATTCGTACCTTCCTGCCTTCCATCGAAGTTCGCACCCAACCCTCAACGACTCGACGAGGAGAGGTCGACAAAAGCAATCGTCACTACCAGTCATTATACTTCAGTCTAGAGTAGAAACTACGTGGAAGCCGCTGCTACGTTCGATGGAAGAAATCTTCATTAAACCTGCCTATAGCTAGAACGTTTTTTCTACCGGGAATGTTAACTCGGGCGACGTCTCACCGTCAACCACCGTTCAACGGATCGCGATCGCGAACGAGGTGCCCATCGCATCGTACCTACTACGCATCGGATGTAATCCGAGAACTTGGGCGGACTGGGCCAAATGCGCGCAACCTATTGACGTCTCCGTGTTTCACTGTCAGCTCGTCTGGATGTCGATCGAGTATGTAATGGAACCGCCAGGCCGCTCCAGTGCTCTGCTCCATAGAGTATGCGCACGCAGATTAAGACACATCCACACTGAAACTCGGACCGACGAGGTGCGTCCTCTCCATATGCAACAGCAGCGCGTATGTAGACGAAGATCTCTCTCTCTCTCAAAGTTTTTTCTTGATGAAGCTCACGAGCACGCGTGACCCCCCCGCAACCCCGCATTCCACTCGCTATTCATATTTAGGGCCAACTACCTAAAACTAGGTACCGGCCAAACCCGACGCTACTCTACGCGAGCTTCAGCAGCCTCACCGCATTCCCACCCAACACCGCGGCGCTCTTCGCCTTGTCACCGGCGAAAGCAGCGTCGATGGCCGCATAGTTGGTCGTGACGCTTAGCCACTGGGGCTCACCGCCGCCGTCTTCTTCGTCCTCGTTGGTGAGGGGTGGGAAGAAGGGGTGGTCCGTGCCTAGAGTACATCGGTACATCCCGTGAAAAGTTGTTTTGTTAAACGAGGAAGCTACAGATCGCCCGAAGGAACCTACCGAAAAGCACCCTATCCGCCCCACTCGCCTCTGCCGCAGCGCGGAGTCCTAGAGCGGAGTAGACCACCGCGTCGAGGAGGATGTTGGTCTTCAGAACGTCCCAGACATCGCGACGGTTCCGCAGCTTTCCCGTTCCCTGGAGGTGCGCGTCGTGGAGGATGCACGACTCCAGGCGCCCGGCAAGGAATGGCAACGTGCCGCCGCTGTGCGCGAGGAGGAGGGTGAGCTGAGTGTGCCGGTCGAAAACCGAGGAGAGAAGCATCCGCGCGACCGAGATGGTGGTTTCCATGGGGAAGCTGGGGTGGTCAGTACGGCTGGTCGCGGGGGCGGGGGCGAGGAGGGAAGGGAGGGAGAGGAGGGGGAGGTTACCCCATCGCCAACGGCAACACGTGCCCATACTCGTCCGCGCGTGGCCCGTACGCCTCCGCCGGCAGGCCGTAATGCGGATGCAAGAACACTGGCAAATCCATCTCCCCAAGGGCTGTGTATACGTCGTCCAAGCGGGGATCATCCATTCCGCTTCCCATTCCCCCCGTGCCGAGTACCACTCCCCTGACCCACCTCATTCCGGCCAGCCTCCTAACCTCAGCTACACATGCCTCCTGCCCCGCACTAACCGGCAGCGTCGCGAACGCGTACAGTCTCCCAGGGTAGCTATTGCACATTGCATCGATATCGTCGTTGATGGCGGCAGCCGCTTCCGCGGCCTCGCTCGGTGGCAGGAAGTCCAGCCACGGGTTCGCGAGCGAGATCACGGAGATCCCGATGCCGTGCGTGTCCATGAACGAGATCTTCAATGAGATGTCGAAGTACTCGGCCCCGAGCGGTCGCCCCCGCGACGTCGACGGCGTCGATGCGTCGTCTTCCCCCGGGAGGATTATTAGCCGGGCCGTGGGGGATGGCGGGAACACGCGGATGTAGGGCACCGTTGTGCGGGATTTGAGGACTGGGGTGTGAGATGTTAGCGGGAGGAAGGGCGGGAAGAAGGGCGGGAATTGAGGGGGAGGGTGACAGACGCTCCACGTAGGCGGGCGGGTACACGTGCGTGTGGATATCGACGATTTTTGACATTGATGGTTCGGGGAGAAGAAAAGTATGATACTTGGTATCGCAATGGACTGGCTGGCTGTGGTCACTGGTACTTTCCCCCGCGCTCTTTATAGCTCAAATATGTGTAGATGCGTATGCCGCCGGAAGTGTTTGGTTGCTTTGTTAGTGTCGGCGCCTTTCCTGTATGTAACTACTGCATAATCGAGACAGGGCGGGATCTGCATCACGACAGCGGTCTGAAGCACTTTTCGTGATATGCATTCGACGGAGAGTTACTCGACTCCCATTCCATAACTTCTATATTCGTACTTACACGGGTGTACGACTCGGAATGTAGGTATCTATCAAAAAATAGGTACAACGCGCCTCGGACTCTCGGAGTCGCGGCATTCGCCGACGGCAGTCAGGGCAGGCAGCGACGCGCAGATTGAGTGTGCTTATCGATAGAGTACAAAAGGATGCAAGACCCGATAGGGAAGGCAAGGAGCCATGATTATGACGGGAAGAGAAGCTGGGGAGGTTGAAACCGCCCGATGTAACTATGGAGATAATCAGTAATCAATCGGGATTCCGAACGATGGATTTTCTATCCATAGTCACCGGCCTTGCGATACCTGCCAGGTACTGGGTATACCGGGATTCGGGTACGAGGACTGTATAGTACTGTATCATCCCACCCGTACTGCCCCCGCAGGCAGATCATGCATTTAAAGGAGCGACTACCTATTTACATAGAGTGGTACAGTTGATCCGTCTTCGTGTCCGTCGCGGAACCAAACATCAACATCTGCCCACTCCACACGACTCAGAAAAGCGAAACCGACCGCCTCTCCACCGCCTCCGCCTCCTCTTCTCCTCCGACCACAGCAATGTCTCCCCCCGCGCAAGAAGCTGTCGCAACCGGCGTCGCCAAGGATGGGCTGTTCATCCCGGTACGTACCAGTACCCGACATACCTCTCCCCTCCTCTCCCCCGGGACGTCCGTTCCCGGTGGCGGCGGGGGGTCTCCGCACCCGTCCGTACTCACCTATTATCCGTCCGTCCGTCCGTAGCTCATTGACTTCGGCATGTTCCTACACGGCGACGAAGCCGAGAAGGCAGCGGCCGTGAAGGGAGTTATCGACGGCTTCAAGAATGCGGGGTTCCTGTGTGTAACCCCAACTCCCCTCGCCCTCCACCATGCATGATGACGTACCCGGTTATGGCAGATAGCGAGAGCTGAACGCGACCTGTTGCTTCTATATAGATACCTCAAGAATCATGGAATCCCGAAGGAAACTGTCGACAAGGTCTTTGCCACCTCCGCCGACTTCTTTGCGCGGCCGCAGGAGGAGAAGGATGCGGTGAAATGGGTATTCCCCCCGGGTGCTGGTGGTGTGGGATGCCGGCGGTCTGACAGGAAGCGTAGCTCACCCCCGAATCCAACCGCGGCTACGTCGCTGCCGGGCGCGAGAAAGCGTCTCAAGTGACGGACAGCGCAGCGACGATCGATGCTCTACGCAGCAGCGCACCAGACCTAAAAGAATCCATCGAGATCGGGCGGGACGACCACCCCACGATGCCGAACAACTGGCCCTTTGGGGACCCCGAGTTCCGCTCCACAATGACCACGTTTTTTTCCACGTGCCAGGCTTTACACGTGCAAGTGATGCGGGCGATCGCGCTCGGCCTCGGGCTGGACGAGGCGTTCTTTGACGGCTTCATCGACGCGGCGGATAACAACCTGCGGCTGCTGCACTACCCGCCGACGCCTGCGGCCGTGTTCAAGAGGAATGCGGGGCAGGTGAGGCTGGGCAAGCATAGCGACTATGGTACTGTCACCCTGCTGTTTCAGGATTTGCGTGGCGGACTGCAGGTCAGAAGTCCGCAGGGAAGCTGGGTAGATGCGACTCCGATTGAGGACACGATTGTTATCAATGCGGGGGATCTGCTCGCGAGGTGGAGTAATAGGATCATTGCGAGCACGGAGCATCAGGTCGTTGAGCCGCCCAGCGAGCCGGTCGATGGTCAGTATCCGGCTAGGTACTCGTGCGCGTATGTCCCTCCCACCTACCCCCACATATCGCCCATCGATCAGAACTGACGTGCGAGATTCAGCTACTTCTGCAACCCAAACACGGACGCCTACATCGAGGCGCTCCCGGGAACCTTCGCTACCGAGGAGGAGAAGCACTTTCCCGGGATCAATGCGGGCCAGTACCTGGTGCAGCGGCTGTCGCAGACGATAAAGTACTAGACGGACAGACAGACGATGGGAGTGGGAGGGCTGGAGAGCGATATCTATGATTTTTGCGCGAGGTGTCGGTGGTTGGGGGAGCAAGTGATCTGGCAGGGAAGGGGGGGGGTGGATGATTGCCATGTGTTTGTTGGGACTTGGAAGATGTTTCGGGTGGTTGGGTGGTTGGGTGGACTCGTTTTGCTGGCTGAAATGAATTACCCATACCGAAGTGCATACTGTCGCTTTACATTACTTAGAGTGTTTCGGCGCTGCCATCAGGTGCAAAGGAACGTACAGTACCCGACCTCGCAGGTCACGTGCGGTATTTTGATGAGCGTGACCGTACAAGCCGGCTAGTACAGTGCACGTGACTAGACGTCGGTACCGTGACTCCGTGAGCAAACAGCACCGGAGCAACAGTTACAGTGCAGCTCACAATACAGCGGTGCTGGAATTCAATTATCATGGTTCAACATTCGGTAGGCACCAGTGTGTACCTACTACCGGCTTGTAGTTACCGGCTGGCGCCGCCATGACACCGATATGGTGTACAGCCAGTATTGAACTTTGAAGTTTCGCCCGCCTCACGCAAAGCAAAGGCTCACAGCTGGCGGATATGTTCCATCTCGTATCGTAACTGTACGGACCACGGTGGACGTTGCATTGGTACAAAATAATAGTGATCAGCAAGTGATTCTGAGGGACGAAATCATGATTCATCATCCAGGCCATTGAGTGTCTCAAGTCTTTGTCCCGGCGTGCGGGGTTCAAGTTCCAGTCCATGGAAGTCGAATGGAAATTCAACAGGTGGAAGCTGTGCTGCGGGAACATGAGCAGCGCGCAATAGACATACACATCGGATGAACTCAGGCGTGAGGGGGATGGGGGATAGATTCGCCCGTCGTGTCGATACTAGTACCGATGTGGAGGTTAGGCGATGACTGAAAATTTGAAATCTACTGTATTATCCCGACACCTCGCAGGTGACAGGTCTATGCGTTCACCTGTTTGGTGACTAGATCTACGGGTGGTTTCGTTGCACGGACACTAGTTTTAGTGCAGGCCAAACAGCAAATAACCCTAGGGTATAGCCGTACGGTTTGCTCCGGTCTCACCCCACTGACCAAAGCCACAAATGGTCTACCACAAAACCGCTGCTTTCCTTCTTCCTTCTCTTCTCTTCCTTGTTTCTTCACCACTCCACACCACCCTTCGAATTCCTTCGCTCATCTTCCCTGTGCCGTCACCACAGCAAATCACACACACTCTTCTGTCTCTCTTCCAAATAACCTTTGCCGAGTTTGTAAAGATGACACCTCCACACACCCAGAAGACCGCGAGAAAGGCGAAGCCTAGGACGAACCCAGGTATGTAGTAGCCTTTTCAACCAAACATAGAGCACGCTGACATCCACGAAAGCCACGAATGCTACTCCCGCTCCGGCCTCTCGGTTCTCCGGTAGCTGTCCAAATCCTTCTTCCGATTGGGTCGCTAAGTTGTCTGGCGCCTCCAAGATCAGCAATTCGTCGACCAAGACAGTCACGAATCCCTCATCCGCTCCGGCACTGCAGAATCCGGTAGCTTCACGACCGAGAATGCTTCCATCAATACCGTCACGACTCCCTCCTCCGCTCCCGCACTGCAGATGTCCGGTAGCTTTACAACTAAGGATGAGTCCATCAAGACCGTCCCCAATTCCTCTACCGCTCCCGCAGTGCAGTTGTCCGGTGGCTTTATAAGGAAGAATGAGCCCATCAATACAGTCGTGAATCCCTCATCCTGTCCGGTAGTGCAGCTATGAGGTGGCTTTACAACCAAGAATGCGTCGTCCAATACCGCCGCGAATCGCTCTGCCGATTGGGTGGCTCAGTTATCAAGCTACTGTAAGAGGAGCAATTCCTCGAAGCATATACTCACGAATCCCGCTCCGTCCGTGAAGCCGTCCGCCAGCTTTACAAGCAAGAAAGCGTCGACCAATATAAACGTAAATCGCTCTTCCGCTCCGGCCGCGCAGCCGTCAAGCAGCTCCACAAGCCAGAATTCGTCGAACCACACACGCTCGAATCCATCTGCAGCTTACCCCGCGCAGTTGTCCGGCAACTCCAAGGGGAACAATTCCTCCAAGAAAAGCGGTCACGGGCATGACCTTAAGGAAGAGAAGAGGAGGCGGTTGGCGAAGGAGAGGGTCAGGGAGGCGGCGTGGCGCGCCGAGACGAAGAGATTGCGGATGGCGAAGTGAGGGAGGACGATGAGCACACAAAGGTTCTAGTGGCGGAGCACATCCGCCAGAAGTACGCGTGCCTGGCGTTGGCTGAGCAGGAGAGTGCGAGGAAGCACGAGGAGCACACCCAGGCTCTCGTCGCGGAGCACCTCCGGCAGAAGCACGCACGTCAGGCGTTGGCGGAGCGGGAGGCGGAGCGGAGTCGTCGGGAGGCACTCCACTCCGGCTCGAGCCTAAGGTTGCGCACCTCGCAGAGCGCGCTTACCAGGCCGCCGCCGCCCGTCTCGCCGCCATGCTCCCTGAGCATCTTCAGATGGATACCGGCAGCAATGCCACCGCTGCCCACTATGACGCTCCGATTGACCGGGAGGAGGTCAACCGGAGGATCGTAGCGGAGCGGATGGCGGCCTTGCAGCCGGATGAGGGTAGCGTGGTGCGGACTGTTGTGGTGGCTGCCCTGGTGGTAGCGGTTGGCGTCTGGTTGTGGTAGGGGGATGGGGGCAAGGCAGGGCAGGAGGGGAGGCGGTGGTGAGCCGAGTCCAGGCACCCCCCCTTTTTTTGTAGTTTGATAAATTGAGTGGTTGTTGAATTCGGGAGGTTTACATGTGCGGTGTAGTAGTGTACCCTTAGGGGGCAGGTGGCGATAAGTTTTGACCTTCAATCACAGATCACAGTTGTGCTATTTCCTAATGTAGCCCTGACGCCAGATCACTCTGCCTATATGGGTCGACCCATCTGTGGGGCGGTGAACCGGTCTATGATGGAATGGACTGGCAAACTGGTGGACTGTTGGTGGACTGTGTTGGTTGACTAGGCTTACCTACTCAGCCGGGAGTGTGAAGTTGTGAACTGGCCGTGTGGAATGTAATTCATCATTGGGCTGGATAACGGTGAAAATTTTGGCGAAGATGATGTGTGCGTTCATAATGTGTTCGTCGACGATTGCAATTTAGAAGTGCAGGGAAAATTTAACATTTACAACCTTGGCGAAACCAGCCGCTATCCTGGAAATCCTGAAAATGGGAACATAATCGTATTGTAAAGAATTAATCTGGCAGTAGGCCGGTTCACCAGTAGATCTATGACTGGGCTCGCCCACTGTGCAGAAAATCTGTGCCTGGGCCAGCCGCGTCATCCAAATGGTCTACCCACAGTTCGCCCAGCCGACAAATACAGTCCTTTCAAGGACGGGCTCACCCGTCTCGTAGACCCAGTGATTTGACGTCCGCGTGAGAAAATGTATTCGGCCCCGTGACAACTGAACCAGGAACAACACACACCTCCGACAAGCACTCCAACCTTCCACAAATGCCAAGACCAGGCGTTGGCACACCAAATACCCCGCTCACTGTGGCTTCAGTATTCATGTGGTGGGTGTGTCCACTCTTTCCGACCGCGGATTGAGTGCCCCGACCGACGAATGCGACGAGGATGCGCATGACACGATCGAGATCATTCGAGCGTCGGTCCCTGGCCGGAGAACTGCACCACCACGGCTGCTACGTGCGAACCTCAGAAGAAGTCTCACCACCGCTTCCCCGCACAGCATCATCGATTTCATCACTCTAAGAGAGCCTGTTCTGCAGCCGATATGGCGACGGCGGGGAGGAGAATGAACCCCGGGGAAGAGCTCAGCGCTTTGCGCAGGACAACGTTGACTAAGTAGTATCTTCAGCTTGATAATGAGATGTGGAGTAATGTGGAAGTTGTACGTCTATCGTATATTCATTTGGTAGTGATGTTTTGAAACGTACTTAATATGTTCTAGCCCAGACTTCAGATCGTCCCGTCTAAACGCAGGCTGGTCCATCCGCAAGCTGGCCTGCCAAGCTATGCATGTTCCGGGTATACCATCTCAAGATCCTTCCTGGCATGATCGTCTGAGAAAGTCTTCAATTGTGCCGTTGAGAGGTACCAAAGTTTCCAGGGAGGCTGGCTGGCGTCAGCACAGGTGATTCCCCACTGGCCATGCTCTAGCAAGCATGCTGGAACCTCGAAGGCGCACAGTCCACTCGTTTTAGTTCAAGCTCTGAAGAGATTTGACTTTCGCTGGCATTGTTGGCCGGCGGCCGATTTTGAAGTTTTTCGCCCAGGGGTGACTACCGACTCCCTGCCGCAGTGTATGGAGGTATGCGAGGGGTTCTCGCTGCGGGCAACCGCCGAGGGCACCGCCGACTCTTGTTTTCGAATAACTATCGTTGGGTGCTCTGGATTCTTGTTTTCGAAGAAATTCAGATGATTTCGACCTGGCTCATAACCTTTTGCCACAGCGCCTCATCTGAGTGGACGAGAGAGAAACAGAGAGAGAGAGAGAGAGAGCGAAGTAGTTACTTCGATACGGAAGAGAATGAGCGGGCAACAGAGAGAGTATAGAAATAGATACAGTGCAACATAAACCGAACTCCGTCATATACATCTTCCAGGGTCATACGATGATATCTCTCCTCATGATATTATTACTTGATCACAAGTCCCCGAGTCGGTATACGAGTTGGTCATTGAGTCGATCTTCAAGTTGATCCTCAGTCAATCAGGAATCACGATTCACTCGCCGATCACTCGCCCGCCTTTGATGCTCGAGCCTGGACGGTGCCGTGGCTTTACGGACCCTCGTCTACAGACCTTTGTGTTCTTTCCTCCACTGTGGGTAGCTTTTAAATAAATGCTCCCTCATCTGTGTCTTGTACCCACAACATCAGGCGCTACCTTATATAATTGCGCGGTTTACCGGAAAGCACTCGCTAGATCACGAGTGAGACTTCATGAGGATTTACATGATGGCTCTTCGCACTATTCAAAACTGCTCACGGTGGAGAAGTCAACAAAAAGCCTTGTGGGTGAAGGTCCGGAAGGAGACGGAGAGAAGAAAAGAGAGGTGGTCGATAGCGGAGTTCGCCGACGCGCGGTGCAGCTAGGCAATCCTAGAGTTTCTAGGAACGACAGATGTGGGGAGAAAAGCTCCACCAGACCTAGAGGAGGAGGAGCAGGAGGAGGAGGCAAGCATCGCGAGCAGAGCAGAGCAAGAGTGCCCAGCAGAGTACTGCGTCTCCGGCCGATGCGAGGAAGTAGGAGAGGAGGATACGCGGTTATAGGTTTTGGGGCGGAAGCGGAAGACGGGGGAGAGAGGCGAGGGGCAACAGGCGGAGCGAACATGTGCCTAGGCCTATACCGGTCTTTACTGTCAATCTAACTTTTGCTTGTGTCGGCCCGAGGCGGATGAGAAGGGGAAGTGGGGCGTCGCATCGGACTGCTCGGTACATTCCGGGGCTTTCACCTGGACTGGCCAGGGCGGGCAGGAAACAGAGTTCGTGGGTTCGCCATACCTAGTCTAGATAGTCTGCATGCGAAATAAAACAGGGAGATCTCTCTCTCTCTCATGATGGCTCTTCCGATCAGAATCAAGATTGATTTGGCTGGTTCAGATACCTGTAGACATTCATGAACCTTGAAACATTCGGTGGATGCGAATCCGGATTGGTGTGTCATGTGAAAATGTGCGTTGCCGTCGTGAACTAGCTACTTTTTTGGTGAGGCTAGTGTTTGCGGAATTCGTGAATCGCGGTTTCTACCCTTCATTCACCTCCGTTTTTCATCACCAACGGCAAGTGCGACGACCTCTGTGGGGTCGAGCCAACTTCATCCCCTCTCCTTCTTCCTTCTTTCCTTCTTCGTTCCTCACCACAACACATTATCTCTACCACCTTCGCAACAACAGCTCCTAGTTCATCCATCTCCACGCCTCACAACTCCACACAGACAATTCATCAAGACAAACAACATGCCCGAAAGATTCACCACCAGCGCCTTCCGTAGGCTCTGCAAGAGGACGCCGAATGGTAAGTTCTAATAATTGCCCGACCCTTCGACCCCCAAACTAACTCCGACACCTCCCCTCCTCTCCAGGCCCGACTGTTATTCAAAAGCTCCGCAAGAACGCCGCCGCGCACGCTATCGCCAAGACCACCGACGACAAGGCCAAAGAGTTCCTCGCTCAGCGCAAAGCCACGAGGGACGACACTACCAACAAGAAGCAGGCGTTCCTCAACGATGAGAAGATCAGATGCGCCAAGGAAGCCGAGAGTATTAGGCGCGAGCAGATGTTGAGGGAGAAGAGGAGAGTGGCTATGAAGAAGGCCTGCGGGGAACGCGTCAGCCTCTATCGTGCGGGAAACATTGACGCTCCTGCTTCTGGAGCTTCGGCTTCTGCTCCCGGAGCTTCGACCTCGGCTTCTACTCCTGGAGTTTCGACTTCGGCTTGTGCTTCTGGAGCTTCTGGAGTTTCTGGAGCTTCGAAAGTTACTCCTCCTTCTCGCAAGGATATGTTGCTCGGCAGAGAGGATAAGTTGCTTCTTTCTCAGATGAAGCCGAAGGATACTAGGAGCTTGGTTAGGAAGCGCGATCGCAATTAAGGCATCGGCTGATTGAAATTACCAGTACATAACTGTATGGGGTACTCAATGAAGCAAGGCTGTTGAACATCTCAACTTTTCACTCGTGACTGTAAAACGTTTTACCTAGTCTGTGACACCAAAACCTTTTTACTATCAATATCGCCATGATCTAGCTCCATACGATGACATCTGATGGTGACGCGCCGGAGATGATCTCGGTCGGTGTGCAGGTCACACTGATCGGCGACGCTGTGGATGCGGGTACCGGCTCCCAGGATCTCCACGATGGCCGCAAGGCTCGCCATCACCCCTCATATTCGCGACCACTGCCTGTCTGAAATGCCTGCACGGACCGTCGTTATGCCTCCTCCAGTATTTTCTTCCAGGGTGAGCGGAATGATGTGCGCAGCCTCGAACCCCACGTAGGAGACTCGAGAGCTGTGTCTCGAGGACATTCAACAGGATTCCTTTACCGACATGTAGGCTCCACCGTGATTTATTTATTATTTCCGGGTACGATTGGTTTCCGCGAGGCCCTGTACTGCAGTACAGACACAATGGACGTAACTGCTAATACTCTCGTCGCCATTTAAGCACGATCTCTTCTACAAAGCACCATACACCCGAAAAAACCTGATATTCGCCACCTTGCGTGACTGTCGCCACATTCGCGCCACCCGTTATCACTCGTCACGTTCGCCCGAACCTCCTAGCGCGTATATCTTATGAACCAGGAGATCCGCTAGCCTATAGGGCATAGGTAGTGTACATTATGCATGTCGAGCACACGCGGTACCGATCCCAACAACGGAATCTACAGTGTCGCGGTGTACTTTATACATCGGTTGCACATGCCACCGCATTCGGCATTGGTGATTTTTGAGCTGTCGGCGTTCATTGGGCAGATACCTTGTAAGGACCTGTGGTAATGCGGACACTGCGAGTCGAATGTCAACTTCGTATGGCCGCATGTGAAAAGCCAGTTGATGAAATTACACATGTTGAGGTATACGTAGTATGGAATTTGCTGTGATTAATAGGTCCAAAACGGGTGTTTATTTAGCTGCACGATGGTGGTCTGAGGATGGGATTGGGGCTTGTCAAATGGGATTATTATATGGGGACGGCTCGAATGACAGGATGAACGGACGGTATACGCAAGTTGAATGGTCAACCATCACTCATGGAAACTCGAGTAGCTTCGCTGTGATCCTTCTCGACGGAATACGTGAAGTTCGGAACCCATGGTAGATAAATTTCCTCATCTCGGTTGCCAAACCGCAGGTTTGGAGTGGTAGCCCCTAATCATGCAGTACTGACAAAAAATACTGGGGTGCACGTGCTGCGAATAGAAGATGAATAGGAAGTGGTGTGGTTAGCAATGGGGATTGCTAAGGATCTAGGCACATATGCAGTTGACCACATCACTTGAATAGAAGACAAATAGACCTGGATTTGGACAACATGCCCCGAATAGGTTTAGGACCCGCTTTCTTTTACAAAAGCACGAGTGTAGTTTACTGGTATCCCCTCGACCGTAGCTCGTTTTCGGTCGATGTATCCTTCAAATACGGATTGTGTAGCTCTGACAGTCACTCTAGTTAGCCAGCTACCCCGCAAATAATGAGATGGAACTCTTCTCTGTGATCTCCTACTGATGATTATCCTTTCAATATTTGGTGATGTCCCTTGGTGGGTGATTGGCGACAAGCTTTTCGGACGATACGATTGTAACCGATTTTTGGCCATTAATAGCTCACCTATGAGCTCAAATGTTTTTCTACAGTCTCGAGAACCTCGGATAATCTCCAACTTACTGTACTATGGGCTCTACGTAATGCTCATTAGTTGGCCTTTCCTGTGGGTGGTCACAGCTCCCTCAACATCGCAGTTTTGGACGAAAACCCGAATTTTTGAACAGCCGCAACTCATGTAATACCAAATCTTCAACATCTCTGACTCCGATAACTGAAAATCCTCTGATGAGCCCCAAATGATAAGGGGTTATGAGAAGTATTCCCAAAGTTTTGAGATATTTCAGCATATTGTTTTTCGCATCTTGACGGCATTTCTCTCCTTAACTAGAATGGGAACACCTAAATTGACGCCAGAATCATCACTGGGTACCAGGATATGTGAACTTTGAACAGATCATGTTTGGTTGTAACCATATGGTTGCTGAGTTGTAGATCCACTTACGTTCAACAACGGGCCGGATGGCCCAGATACAGCATATCTACGATCCAGGGGATAAAGAACACTCGTCAAGAAGATTCACAAAGTGCAGTAGTAAAAATCTAAACTTCTTCAATGAGGGTATTTTACAATGGCACCATGGCTTAAGTAAACCCAAACACACACCATTATGTGAGCATCGAGCGGACACTGGTGAGTTCTCTGCCTGTTCTCCCGCCAAACCTCGTTTCGACTTACAGGTTCATCGAGACGTCATATCGTTTCTCCAACCGCATGTAGTAGTTTACGAGCCACCAACAAATGTGGCGGTGCACACAGTGGCTAGTACCAACGTGGTGGCGTGGATGCAGGATGAGGCTAATCTTCTTTGGAGCACAGTGGCGGACGTGCAGGATGTCATGGGTTGTCCCAGGGCTGAACTCTTGGTAACTTGGCTAAAAGCCATAGCCAGGCGGAGAGCTGCAGGAGAGCTGAGTACGACCTTACGATCATCACTCTTCTTTGTCCTTTAGCTTCAAGCTTTCTCTTCTCACGGTGGTCCCTCGAACACCTAATTGCCGAACCTTCGTGCCCTTACGCCCTTGGTCCGTACTCCCGACCTCTAGTGCCCTCCTCACGATCCGAAAAGAACGGTACTCGAAGATTCGGCCGTGATGGTGCATGCGAAGCTGCTCATACCCGGTTTCCTCGTAGTCTCTTCCTGCTCCTCGGGCGAGCCCATACCACACAGCATGCGCGGTGTCCCAACGCTCGCGGGGCCGCTCCCCATCAACTCGACCAGCTACTGCAACCGCACCTCGACCGTCACCTACGGCGCACGGTGGGACCCCCTCTTTACCGAAAACGACTACACCTGTGAATTCCCTCCGCGGAGCCCGCTCGCCCTCCTGGCGCCGCATTCCTCCGCCACCGCCGGCCAGCACGGCGCAGACGGAACTCTAGAAACTTCCGCCGTCAAGCGATTGCAACAGCTCGTGCTGCAGCCGAAGCCGAAACGCCGAGTCCCCAGCTACGGCTGCACGCTCCTACCTTCGCCCGCACACATGAACTTTGAGAACGGCTGCGGGCTGATTCCGTCGATGCGGCGCATGTCGAACCGAACGTGCATTCTCCCCGACGAAGTGCAGGAGTCCGCCGCGTGGAGGTGGAGGGGAATGGACGACTGGAGGTTCGTCGTTGTCAACCGCGGAGAGGAAGAGTGGTGCGAGTGGTGGCAGGAGATCGCGAATATCGCCCACGCGCTGCATTATGTTTGCATTTTCTCCGGAGTGATGTCGAGTCATCCTGGAAAAGATGGTACGGTGGAGGCTATCGCATGGGGAGCAGACGAAGAGAAGGGGCTGAGGTGGTGCTTGAGGTATTCAGAGAGAGGCTGGGGAGAGCAGTTGTTTGATGAGCTTTGCTTGGGAGTCTGATGTGTACGATACCATGCTACAGACGAACGTACGATACCTCGCTACGCATATGAACCACATATATTAGGATGTATGCTGTAGTCTACGGCGGTAACGCTCCAGGAGCAGAATTAAAGTTCAAGCGCGCTTTGAGAAAATCAGTGACTCGAGGGAGCCACACGAGAGCAGCTTCTCGGAAGATCAACCATTTGGCAAAACCTCATTTCCAACATCTGTCCTCAAACCCACGTTGTAGTGATAGGCCTTGTAGTCGACACAATTTACATTGCCAGAGCTTTGAAAAGAGAATTGTCAGAATCTATTATACGATCCTACATACTACGCAGATTTCGATTTTCAGCCGCGAATGCCACGTCGCCGAGCGACGGTCAATCGCCGTCGACATCGACATGTGCGGGGTCCCTGCTGGTCGCCCGACCATAATAGTACCGATGCAAACAGCTGAGCGCCGCCGCCACGTCAGCCGCACCAACCCGGTCGGCAACAACCACCAGGGGTCCTCTCCAAATCTACACATACCCTATAGGAATAGATCCAGTATCTGCTGCTGATTACGCTTGATTTATTTACGGATAATCGCTTCTCTTTATGAATGCACTTTATAAGTGTGTGCTCGGCCATTGAGGCTTCCCGGAACCCCCTTCTAGTCTCGCAACTGAATGTCCACGCGGTCGACGAACCCAGGCGCGAAAATACGGATGAAGAGGAGGAGGAGACAACGGCGACCGATCTCTAGATCGGTGCTCCGTATCATCCGACAATTTGCGGGACTGCATAGGTACACTTTCTTCATATAAGGTGTGCTGGTGGGCGCAGTTTAAAAGAATGGCGCCGACGCTGCCGGTTTGCCGCCGCAGTGGCTGAATGAAGGCTAGAAGTTTGAAGTGAATGCGAAATGTGGAGGAGCGGGCCGATGGGGGTTGATACTAAAAATTGTTTCTGCCAGTCACCATAATGAGACGTTCTACTTGCGAACATGTGAGTCAATATTTTAGGAGACGCGACGAGTATATCGTGATTTGGAGTCCGTGAAGCGTATTCGCAAACCACAATCACCCTGGAAAACCTAACCCGTGGCCACCCAGCCGAAAAGTTTAACCAGACGTCCGAGGATCCCCACGCTACGCTCCAAGGAGGGGAATCCCGGCGCCCGCTCCCCCACGTCGATGAACCACCTCGTGCCGGAAACAGTCATCTCACCACACACTGCCGTGACTGCACCACCGCACCCAGGATTTCGCGTGGAAAGAAATCAGCATTGATTCATCCGGAAAAAGCCCCCCGTAGCCTGTGCAAGTGGCGCGCAGTGGCCACAACGAAAGGTGGAAACGGCGTCTACAACAGCGGGCGATTGACCGACGATAAAAGTAATTGAGGGAATCTGCGTTCAACATCTTGGAATCGATCGTTCCGGCAGGGCTCCCTTCGCATTTACACGTAATTTGAATCTCTCCACGAGTCCCTAGCACCATGAAAGAAAATCCCGGTTCACCCGACAGAGGAATATAAGCATTTATGATATGTAGCGCACTAGCCAAACACGAAGAATGCGCAAATTGGAACCTCTATAACCCCCTTTGACACGCAGGCGTGTCCACCGCCTCGCTTTGAGATTACCCGCTCAGCGCTATACCGACTTTGTAGCAAGTCGGGCATTGATAGTCGCCGCCCACATTCTTAGCCATGTAGTAGATACACTTGAGGTGGAAGTCCTTATGGCCGCAGTTGCTCAATTGGCCGCGGGTGCCGGGGTTGATCCATTGCTTGCAGAAAACACACTGCAGAGCATCGAGACGAGGCATAGGCATGTTTCTGGATGACAGTGTGCGGAGTCGAAGTAGGGCGGTGGCTCGACGGATTGGTTCTTTCGGTGACGAAAAGTTGAGGTGCTGAAGTCGGAGCGGTATTCGTTAGGTTCGTTGGGGTTGTTGGTATGTATGATAGATGCATGTAATAGGACTGCAACAAAATCCGATGCGGTAGACCGGGGGTTTTTATTCTTTGATACGTAGATCGCAATACAATGGAGAGAGCTGTCGCACCAAGTAACATCGTATTCAATGTTCGGCGTGACAGCCATCTTTGAAGCGACTACTGCAAGTCCGGACGATATAAGCGTCATGTGATCATCTTCGACAGAAACACCTTCGAGTTAGGCTGTGGACGTGGAAACCGAGTTTGCGTGTAATACTTTAGCTGCTAGGTAGGTCACACGCAAGAAAAGAAATAAAAACTTCTAGAGACTGTAGAAGTGCAAGACTGGCCCCGGCCCCACAAAAACAAAAAACCCCTTGACGCGGATTTAGTAGTTCACTTCCAACAAGCACCTGCCTAGAACTACCTACCTACGTTGGTGCCATGCTCCCCAGGCAGCATAAAAGGTAATTGTTACCTACAATATACCGAGACAGCAGCTCTTGGGAGGCTTACATGAGCCTAGATATGTCAGTGTTCCACGGGTCCCTTATGCCATCACTCGTTGCTCAAACTATGTTCACTAATTCTCACTCGCTGAGCACTTGCCAGTCTCACTGGTTTCTAGATGGCCGGGGATTCCGTATTCGTCACATTTCGTTGGATATTTAATCCTATTTCGTTACCATCGGACTTGTCGATGTATCCTCCCACATATCTTTCACGTGGCTATCAGCGAGACATCTGGCTCAATGGGTTTATTACTGCTGCCGGAAATCACTCTAGAGGAGTATTTACATCAACAATTGAAAACGCAGATATCAGGCCGGTATAACAGCAATCCCAAGGACAGGGCCACATTGGCAAACGCGTATAAAAGAAATCAGAAATGTATCAAAGAAAAACTACCTAACTCCAAACCTCCGACCGCCGCGAAACGGCAGTCTGTTCTGCTGTGGGGTTTATATCTCGAGGGAGGGTAACCCGGGTTGAGTTGGGGTCGAGAAGTTTACTCCTGTAGATAGACTTCTGAGGGCAGTTGTTTCGAATATGGCCCACCTTTTTGCAGCCCCAGCATTCCTGGGTCGCGTCATACGCCTGTTGCGCAGTTGAACTGAGGTTGGGACCGGCGGTCGAGTTTCCAGGCTTCTTCTTATCAGACGTTCTGTTGAATCCCATCTTCGTGAAGTTCGCTTCCATTGATTCGTTGGCCAACCGAGTCAGGTACGCCTGCCAATCCATAGCATCGGGGCCCGCAGATGGCGAGCTACTTGTGGTATAGGGGCCAGGACCTGAGCCGCTGCGAAAAAATCACGGGAAGAACGATGGTAGATTCTCTCATCCAGGCGCTCTACCCAGTTCATCGTGGTTGCTAGATCGGGAGGTTGATCACCCCGTTGCTCAATGTCAAACAACCACATGTCGCAGTTGATAGCCAGTTGCTGCTTTGAAGCCGCACGGTCAAGTTTCTTGATGTAAGCTCCGAGCATATTTGCAGGATCCTTGCCAGTCGCCAGCTTGACATTGGATACCAAGCGAAGAAATTCTTGGTTGAAAGAGTCCATTCTCGCTGCTTTACCGATTGCTAGATCGTCAAATGCACGGACTGCATGCTGCGTCGCCGACCAGGGGATGAAACGATCCTGCAGATCCTGTTTAAAATGTCTCCCAGGTGGGAGTGGTGTGATCGCCTGGGATCCACTTATTGTTGGCCCACTGAGGGCACCGGGGTACGCCGCCTGAATCGGGTTGCGCAGCTGCATGATCGCGGCGCTGGACCACACTGTGGTATCGAGCGGTACCTCAATCCCCAGAGACTGTGTGCTAGCTTCGCGCAAGCTACACTCCATAGCGGTCAAAAAATCGTTGATGGCGGCGACGCTTGTATTACCATCATATTTAGGCAAGCTGATGTCTTTAACACGGAAGATTCGGGGGTCCGATCTGGTGAGAACGTGGTTCGATTGCCGCAGTTGGCAGTATAGGTCGAGGAGCTCGACATTCACCTTCGTCACTTCCTGTGTCTTGCCATCCCCTTCCTCCTTTGCCTTATTCAGTTCATCTTCGGCATGTCTGCGCAAGGCGGTTTCGCGATCAACAAGGTAAAGTCCGTCGCGTACCATGTCAGCGAGAGCAGCGTTGTAGAGGACGTTCATTCGCAAGTCCTCTTCACTAATCTTGGTTGGGTCGGTCTGCATGTTGAACCTCATGCAGACTGTATCGTACTGAAACTTGTAGAATTCCGTCGTGCGCTGGTCGTTGGGAATATCCTGGAAGTTGAAGTTCAAGTTTGGCTGCGCCGGGGTTCCGAAATCTAGGACGGGCGCCTTTTCCTGGCCCGTTGTGCTCGTCGGGAGCTTGGACGAACCAGCCGGTAACCGACCGAAGTGCGGGTGTAGCCTAGTAGCGGCGTCGAGCATGGACCCGCTCGTTTAGAGCAGCGGATCTCCGGCAGGGCCAGCGGTCGGCATGTTCGAGCTTCGGTGTTTATCAGCGATCTTTTCAAAGGTCGTGCTCGCGGAGTTTCAGGTGCACCCACTCACCCGGAACGTAGATTTTTAGAACCGGACAGACACAGAGTGTTGCTATCAATGTGAGAGACGGTGGTGGTCGTTAGATGTAAACGTGCTGTCTAAAGAGGAAAGTCCATCTATAGGAGTTCGTCATGTAGTACCCCAACTTCTCGACCCCAACTCGACCCGGGTTACCCTCCCTCGAGATATGAACCCCACATCTGCCGAACACCCACTATCATATGCGACTTCAATCGCAGCGGCGTGTCCCTCTCGGATCTAACTGGCGCGCAGTCTCATCCAGCTCATAATTAGTAGTACCTGCGCCTGCGGATACGAGGCGGAGGGTGATGACGGCTACGATGGTTACCGGGACCATGAGGCCCTGCAAGTCGCACTGAGCCGTGGAACACATACTCGTATGGATGGTCACTGATGGGCTGCCAAGGTAGGACCTGCGGCGGGTCGTTCGGGCCGAATCCATCAACATGGACGGCACCCCTATTCATCAGATCGAGGAATTCGAGTCTCAGACGGTGCCACATCGCCCTGAACGGAGCCTCGTGGTCCCTGTGAATGTTGTGCATCAGCTCGTGTAGCAACGTGTCGCAAATCTGCACCTCGTCCACAAAGCAGGATATGTTGGCAGGATGCCGTAGGCGCAGAAATATTTGCTGCTCCCCTGCCAGATTCAACGTGTGCATACCCATTAGAATATTGTCATCGGCGACGCCGTCGTCAGAAATCTCGGCGAACTCAGTGTCCATTCCCTCGTACAGTGACTCTCCGGAGAGACGGTTGGAGAGCATTACTGGCCGCACCATTCTCGCGACCCGCTCCAGGAGCTGTTGCGCTTCTCTCTCATTCGGTAGTTCAGGGTGGGTGAAGATCTCAATGAAGCCACCGACCGGCATCTTCGCCGTGTTTTGGTTTGGGTCGATGTGACGATGAGGGCGTGCTGTGGAGTGGAGACCCGAGGAGATATGTGAGCGGCGGGGCTTCTGGAACGATCAAACCAGATCGACCGAGAAAAATCTGGTGACTCTGGAGGACGTAGTGTATTAGGAGTATTGAGTCGTATCTTATTTTCGCCGGCGTTGGTGGGGATGAGTGAGCCGGAAAGACCGCTGGTCTGGCCACAACTTATAGTCCTACGCTCAATACAACGGCGGCAACTCGCGGTGGCGTTCAACTTGTTTTCTACAGGGTGCATCGTAGCCACCGTTGTATTTCATGAACATTCCTCTCCTGCCGAGGTCACTCTCACGATATCCACGTATCACGCACTGAGCCCCGGACGCTGTGATTACTACGGTAGTCTTCACTTGGCGATATAGTTCCTCCGTTTTCCCCCACGACTGAAGATAAACAAAATGCAGTGAGCTTACACAATCACCGCTGTCCACTTCCCTTCCGTAGCCAAAATTATTCCATAAGCTACCTTCGCATTCGCGAGTCCACGATTTGCCTACCATTCTGGTATTGATGAAAAGGTACCCTACACAAGGGGCAGGTCTTAGGAGTATCACCTCTGCACATCATCGTGATGCAAGGCACACAGAAATCATCGTGTTGACAAGGTAGCAAGCGGGCGCACTCGGAAGCCGGGAAATCCTCCATACAGATCGAGCACGTCTTCTGCGGCCCACCGCCGCGTCGAGGAGGCGATTCGTACCGAGGATGGTGTGCCGCGGGCTCACTCGGTCGTATCCGAGGGGGTGGAGCGGCGTCCCTTGCAGACTCCTCGAGAGCTCTTTGAAGCTGCTGCTCATAATCGTCGGCAGTAGCCGGTGGTGTTGGATAGCGTCGGGGATGCTGCCGCGCAGAGGGCGGATTGCGGCGGGTCCGTCTTGCGCGAGCGGCTTCGCGTTCGGACTCGGAGATTGCTCGCCGTAGCTGCTCTTCGAAGTCGTCTTCGCCGCCACGCAGTGGGCTTCGGCTGATAGGTGAGTCCAGTGGTGTGTACGGAGACGAGTAATCACTGGACCCCCCGAAATCTTCGGTGGACTGCAGTAGCGCCAACTGAACCGCGGCATCGTCGTCTGGAGTTCTAGATCCACGACGCCTCCTGTATAGATCACCACGCACTGGCGGGTAGCGGGGGCCTACTGGTGGATAAGCCGCAGGAACGTACTCAACTCCTGGATAAGCTGCAGGTGGGTACCCAACTGGCCTAGGAATGCCTGCCGGCCATGATGTCAGACTGCCATACACGGGATCCGGTACTGTTACCACCTCGATATCAGGAGCTCCTTGGACCTGGTTATAGGGATGGTAGCACTGGGGGCCATTTCCGTCGCAATAAGGATCTCCGCAGGTACAGTTTATGTAGGTAGCCATCTTGGTGTTTTCTTTTGTTGAGATCGGAATGATGGTCGAAACCAGGATAGTAAATGGAGGGCAAACAAACGTAGGGAGTTGTCGCCTTTTATCATGGTTTGATGTGAGCATACTCTCAACATGCACCATGTGTGTAATCATATCTGTGTGTAATGGGAAGCAATCCACTTCATCTTGGTACACGGGCTATATATAAAGGTCGTCCGGCGACACTTTCCGATTGTGATCAGAATCAAGCTGACTCTTGTGAGTTGCTTCGAGACAGCCTGGGTAGGACCCTCGTGGTGATGTTGCATTTCTCGTTTACTCCAGGTTACTCCACCCCAGAACAGGTCCACCTGATGCTTTCGAGAATGTTTGGTCAACCTACTCGATACTTCCACATGCAACGTTCAACATGAAGAGCAAAGGCATCCCGCGACGACATCTGAGTGGGAATCCTCTGCCACTCTGCGCATAGTTGTTCTTGGGAAGAGCATCGTCGAACCGTAACTTCCTGACGTGCGAATACTAGGACAACACAAGACAATAGTGATCAAGGATATTGGCGAGATGGATAGTACCTACGTGAAGATATTTGTGTGTCGCTTCTCATGCATCTCTTCGGGCTAGAGAGTCATTCTATATACACACTCGTCAAGTCCAAGGCAGTATACTCCTACGTAGGTAAAACGAATATCCTTCGGGTAACGGGTTTTGAGATGGGGACGGTCGTTCGAGGGTGTTGACATATCCGTGTGCCTTCTAGAGCCTTCCGAACGTCTACTTTGACAATATTCATCGAACCCCTCTTACCTTCCACTAATCTCGCACAGGACGTGGCAGAGCCACGCCCGGATATGTCGGTGAGTCTACCGACTACGCGCGGTGTAAAAGCGAAAGGCCTCGATGCCTAAATGCGAGCGATGCCGTGACCTCACTATTCCAACACGTGAAGGCAGGAGATCCACACACGGTCTTTTACGTAACATCATTACGAAATGCTGGGCAAGATGAGCTGGTGCTGCCAAAAGGTCAAGATGAATCACGAACACTATCCAAGATCGGCATGAGGTGGATGCGAGAACAGCCAATTACGTCATGTGGGGCCAGGCGTTGACGGTGTCAAAATAACGGAACAGAGATGTGTGAACTACATCTCAACTTCTCCAAAAGACCGTAGACGGGGCCTGCTCGTGAACACTAATGCCGGCGGGGCCCTGGTAGTATAGGAAAAGGAATAAAAGAGGCCAATATAACCTCGGGAAAGGAGTATCCAGAGAAGGGTGAGTGCCATTCGCCCGGTTGTTTCATCTGTCATCCCTTAGAGACGGGGCTGACCGTCTTTCTCTTAAGTGAGCTTGGCCGGGGATCACGTCGGCGTCCGGAGCACATGAAGGATATCTCTTCATGTCCGCTGCAAGGCGCTGGCGATGGTGAAGTTTCAAGAAGCACTGTGTTGAAGGAGTCAAGGGCGCACTCATGAGAACTGGATCCGGGGGGGAGATATGTTCTACTCTCGGGTCTCGCCGTCGGGTCTATCTCCCAATGGCAGATATATTCTGTTTATATAGAAGGGTATCGGCCCGTAGTAGACTGTAGACGAAGCAGCAAGCAACAAGACAGTCACATATTCCTACCTATCCTCCTATCGATCTCAGTATATCTGAAGATTAATAGCCAGGGAGACGCCGGGAAGCAGCCGTGGATTGAGAGTGTAGACTGTAGTCGATCAAAAAGCCGATGTCATCCTCTCGGACAGCAGCCAGACCAACAGCATTTGGCCAATCGCGCATATATCTCACTCATCGATGACCAGGAGGTAAAACCTTTGCTCTGAATGGAAGACGACCTCCGCGTATAACATGGGGGGATAGTAAACCACGTTATACGCGTATAACGTGGGGCGGTAGTAGACCATACAACCCCCCCAGGTTAGACGCGTATAACTCGGATGTTATAATTTCTTCCGGTCCCTATCGAAACGCACCGGAGACCGAGGAAGCATAGACGGATAAGACTTCGGGGAAGGTTGAAGAGTTGTTGTGATGACTCGCCGTGCACGTGGTTTCACTGCACGGATTCCAGCTAGTTTTCACACAAGTCAAACAGCAAATACCCTAATGTTATAGACCTATCTCACCCCACGAATCACATCGAAATGTTACCCTGATTCTGGCGCCCCCAACCTACCCGCTGCTTTCTTTCTTCCCGTCTCTCCTCTTCCTTCCCTCTTCACTGCACCACATCTTCTGTTGCCCCACTCTCTCCACACAGAACACCCAGACGTCTTTCTCCTCTCGACAACTTTGCCTTCGACACCAATCCCTACGATGGCACCACCACACACATCGAAGACCGACCGGAAAGTAAACGCGAGAATGTCCAGCCCAAGGCTAACCAGCGCGCGCCCTTTTTTGCTGCCACTACACCGCCGTTTACAACTACCATCGAAACTTGTCCTCCTCCCCCTACGCTGCAACTTTTGGCCAGCAGAATAACCTTTCCTCGTGCCACTGCGCCGTCGCCTTTGACCATCAGCGAGCCCCTTCCGCCTCCCCCTACGCTGCCGTTTCCAACCAACACCGAGACCCTTGACCCTCCCCCTAGCCTGCCACTTCGACCAGTAGCGAGACGCTTCCTGCAGTCAAGCGCATTTCTCGAAGGGCGGCGATGGTGGCGAAGGCGGAACTTCACACCGGAGCCCAGATCGAAGTCAAGCCCCTCCCCTCCTTGCCGGAGCGCAAGGACACGTAGGCCCTCGTGGCGGAGCACATCCGGCAGAATTACGAGCGTCTGGCGTCGGAACGTCAGCTGCTGGCCCAGCAGGAGGCGGTGCGGCGTCGCCGGAAGGCGTGCTGCCTTGAGCGTGAGAAGGTCATTGCCCAGCAGGAGGCCCGGCGGATTTTCCAGGAGAAGCTCCGGCGGAAGCGAGACGATGCTTGCCTCGCGGCGCGTGCGCGCGTAGCGCCATGCCCTCGCGTTGGCATGCCTCTTGAGCATTTGCGGACGGTTGCGGGTGGCATGGCCACCGACGTCCAACGGGATGCTCCGTTTGACCGGGAGGAGGTCGACCAGAGAATTCTCGCGGAGCGGATGGCGGCCTCGCAGCCGGATGGGAGTGTCGTTCGGACGGTCGTGGTGGCTGCTATGGTGGTAGCGGTCGGCTTCTGGTTGTGGTAGGGCGTTTGGCACCGCCACCACAGCCATCAGTGCATACCGCGTGGTTTCACTGAGGGGATTCAGATGCGGAGACTTCCTTTAAGACACGGCATTCGCTGTGTTGGGTAAATTGTATCGTCAATGGAGTGATGTCTTGCGTATCTTGAAGACCTCAAGGTTGAATACTGCGTGGTTTCACTGAGGGCTCTATGGCCACTGGTTACGTGGTGAGGTTTTTTACCTACGGGTTTTCCTCTGAAAAAACATCGTCTTCCTGGCCGCTGCGCGAGGGGACGAGGTTCTTGGTGTTGCTATGCGGTTATCCATCAGAAAAAACAATTCTCTATGAACGTAATGGGTTGCGTGTATAAAACTTGCGACGATCGACACGTCCAGTGAGTGGGAAGCGTATGAACGAACCCACGCCACCATATTCCCTGGAAACGTCGTCCACTGGCTGTTGGAACGTTCGTTGGAACGCTATTGGGCAAAACATAACCAGAAATGAGTGTGATTTTTGTGTTATTCATTGCTTCCATGTGGCCTATCTGAACAATGAGAGTATCTACACCCCATCCGCTCCCTCTACTCTTCCATGCCGTGCCCTGATTCTTCCGCCATCTGACTCTCCCAGGGCCTTGCCTCGCTCTCTCAGCTCTTCCGTGCTCTCTCCCTCGACCGACCGGTTCCCTCAACTCTCCACCGTAGCACTTCACTAATACGCAGTCGGCTGCCCAATGGAGTAGATTGTTTTTTTCTTGATGCTCGTCAATACGAAACCGTCTGTCACCCAGTTTCGGAGAGGCCGTCCACCGGGAGCAAGTCGGCTCTCACCCGACTTGGACTCCCAGAGGAATGGGGAAGAAACTTATGCCGGCAGCGCAAGAGAAAACCCCGTCCTTGGATCTTTTCCGCTCTGCCTCGAGGGTACGAGTGGGCACCAATGAACACATTTCTACAACGAGGAATAGCGACAAACGTGGTGCGGTGGCCAGCACGTTTGCTACTCTCCACACGAAGCACTCCCACGCGCAGGCATGTACTGTTTGAAGCTGCGACACCAGCCAACCTAAAGAGACACACCGAGGCGAGAGAGGATGACATTGCTGTCAATCCAGTCAGGCTCAATACCTGGGCGAGGTCTTATGTCCGCCCAGCCCCCACCTCCTTCCCTCCTTGCCTCCGGCGCTGGCCGCCCGTGGATGTGCAGATCTCGCAACCCCACACCGGAAAGTTTCTCGTACCCGGTCGTGGGTGTTTCAGAAGGTAGGTCCCGAGCCTGCTACGTAGTACGTAGAGTACCGAACGACGATTGAACACGTAGGTGACGTGCATCTCCCGCTCACCACCCGTCCATCCAACATATCCCTCTCCGTCATACCCATCTCCGACAGCCGTCTCCGACTCTCCAGCGAGACCAAAGGCTAGGGGGAGACTAGGATATAGTGTGTATTCAAAATTTCAAAGCCATCATGATCCGACCCAGCGGTCGAATTCGAAATTATGAATGTTGAAACCGACATCCCGCCGCCACGGCGCCGCCCGGCCGTATCCATGTTCGGCGTCCACCAACCTCTCCCACCTATACTGGCCCCGCTCACGAAATACTACATTATGCTCGGATGCTATACCACCGGTAATATTGGTATATACGGGATGTCTTCTGCTGACCGCACTACTAGTGATGTTCACCGGTGCTTCCTAGATGAAACGAGCGAGCAAACGTGACGCCAACTGTCGGAGACGGGTTGAACGCCCTGCTAGACCCACCAAAACTTGCTCATCAGATGAAACGAGCGAGCAAAGTTCATACACCATCACTAGGTGCGTGTTCGAACGATGTGGATGTGAATGGGGCTGCTGGCGATACTCGTTAGGGATGGGGGACAGCGTGACCATATATTAGGAGCCGCCGGTTGATGTTTGTAGTGAAGCGCGTTAGGTTGGTTTAAAGAACAAGGCAAGTGTCAATTGCTTGCTATGACCCTGTGATAGGTCCTGACAGGTGATTAGCAGACGTGGCGACGCAAACTATGATGTGCTAGTCCACACCCACAAACGTCAACGAAGCAATCACGACTCCACGTCTCCTACTGTCCTACAAAACCATCCGATCCCCCTTCTCCTGAACAACCATCCGAAGACACGACCCTGTGGCCGAAACAACAATTCGACAACACAAAGCCTTCACCGCAACAGATTTCCGACGACACAACCCTTGCCCCGATATGGAAATGTCGGAACTTTCCCCCACTTCCCACAATCTCGCCAAGAAGCCCAAGCAAAAGTCTGTGGCTCTTTTCCAGCATGGGTTCTGGACTTTGCTAAGTTCATCGCAGGCGGCCGAACCCACAGCAGCGCCGACGCCGTGAGGCATATAGACTTGCTCGCATCGCCGCCGAGCTAGAAGCTCCTGGTGGACTGAAGAGCGTTTTGAATGCGACCGGTACGACTGCGGCCACTGCTACGGCAGTGGAAGAATGTCTGCGCGAGCAGACTTCTTCGGTGCGAAGCGCTGTTGGGATGAACCAGCATAAGGTCGTCAAGAAGATCAAGTGAGTAACTACTAACTGCTGGTACCTCCGACTGCTCGGGAATGAATGCTGATCAAATCGAGCAATACGACCAGAGAGTCAGCCGCGGAGCACGATGGGGCCGAAGCCGCAAGGGGCTCTGCTGTGACTGCTTCTGCCGTCACTACTACGGCGTACGGCGCACCTACGGGTGCAGAAGTGTTGCTCACGGCGGAGACCGGTGGCTCGGTTCCCACAAGCGTGCCGAATCGAAAGATGTAAGTGCTAAACCTTCAATCATTATTAGTGTGGATGTGCTGACACGATAGTCGCCGCTTGCGCGAGAGAGCTATGAAGGCGGGCAGAGGGGCCAGAAGGAACACCTGCGACGCAGATCTTGAACCGGGAGCAGCTGGAGCCAATTTGGCTAGCTGCTCCTCGGGAAGGAAGAAGCAGTAAGTATTCATTCTACGTGAACGGAAATGCAATAACTGAAAGAAATTGTAGGACGTCAGGGGAGGCGCATGCCGCCCGACGAGCGAGGCTTCGGAAGCCGAGCAGCGTCAAGGCTAAAGCACTAGAGGCCGTAACCATGCTGCCAAAGCTGGAGCGGGAAGAGTGTGAAGCGCAACAAGAACTCAACGCGAACTCGTGAGTTTTCTACCACTTCACCAAACATATGATCAAGGCTAACGACCGCAGGTTGTGGGAGGCATTTCTGAAGGCCGACGGCCACACACAGTCGTTGGTGTGTGAGCACCTACAGCTCCGCTCAACCGGGGAGAAGAAGGCAGAGGGTCAGAGAATGACCCTTCCGAACACTACCACCGGAGAAACTGGCGCGAAGAAACCCAGTAATCCTGGTAGCGTTCGTCGAGGCGCCGTACCTTCCAGGCAGCGGAGCAGCAGGCCGTTCGGAAGAGTGCAGCCACCCAGCGCGGAAACAGATCCCTCCCGGCAGTTGGCCATCGCGGCATGGGGTAATCTCGTCGAGGCGAACACCGCTATGTATGCCGAAAGGATGTAGAAGGTGCAGGCTACGGCCAACTCTTCCCTCGAGATGAGGTGGAGAGCCGAGTCCCCCATCGCCGACAAGGAGACTGCCGGGAAGCGGTCGGCTTCCGAGAAGATTCCGAAGAGCGCCGAGCCCAGACCACCAGCTGCGCCCGCGCAGCTGGCTCCTCATCTCCGTGCAAGGCTGGCGTCAGACCCTCGTTCCCCGGTGGTTGAGACCTCGTGTCACCTTCGCAAGAAGGTGATCGAGTATATCACCGCCGTGGAAGACTTGGAAGTTGCGCCGTACCTCGAATGAGGTGACGACTCCTCCAAGCAGGTCCTCGAGACCGAGGAAGTGAAAGGAGTAGCGGAGAGACCGAAGAGATGGAGGAAGGTGGCGTGAAAAAAAGTATATAGTATACCAATACCAAAAGAATCCGTGCGCTATCGCTTTTCATACCGAGCATAAAGAAACTAGTATTTGCGTTATATTCACTATCGGACCCCTAAAATCAACTCGTCAGAGCCATTATTATCTGAATATAGATCCGGCTAGATTACAAAGAAAGCTCTGCATCCCTCGATTATACCGTTCGCAGTGCAACCTTTCTCCCGAGCGGGTTCAGTGCTGTCACCCTTTGGGTACGACGCAAGTGAATGAGCTGTCACTCGTACGATTGCATTTGCTGTCACTCGCTCGCAGGCACAGTCTTTCTCTCAAGAAACGTGGTATCGTGAGATAGTGCACAGTGTATCAGACACGACAGAAAGAAAGGCATATATACTGGAAGGCGCGGGGGTCCCTAGGATAGAGGCCGCACGCTGCCGCTCGCCACTTCCGTGAGAACGCATAACCGAAGTATCTCGGCATATCGAGTGATCGTTCATGACCTTGTCCGCGGAATTGACGCGGTACACGAAAGTTCGTGAGATTATGACACTGTCGCTTGTGTTGCATACTGTCAGAATATAGTTCGCCATAGTCTAGATAGGCTGCATGCGACATAAAACAGGAAGATGTCTCTCTGTCGGAATATGGATATGAGATTTTCTGTCACTCTCTGTCAGATTATGGGACGTCCGGAGATAACGATGTCCTTAGCGTACTCCAGTGGGGTATCTGAGCACAGAACTCCGAAGAGATCGATGTGGATACTTCCTGGTTGTGAAGGTTGTATAGAGAGAGCTCGCTGCTCACCATATTGTTGCTGTACCGAATAGGTGCTATCATCATCTTTATCTACCTTATATTTGACACACACAGATAGCTGTCTCGCGCTAGCAGAGTATATATTCTCCGTCCGTAGCTAGCGAATACAGCATCTTTCTCATCATTCACATTTCGTCCGTCTGCTTGACTTCGTCAAAGTGACACCAAGAGGAAGTGGAAATGAATCGTGATATGAATACGGTATCGAACAATAAACTATTGTCCTGCGCATCGTATTGCGAGTCATTTGGGTCCTCTCGGATAATCCCCCCCTTTCCCAGGCTCCCAGCCATCACGTACCCAGGGCTGTCAACCGTCCGTCCTGACTACAGTCCACTAGTGGACTGTAGTCCCGTCCCCTCCCGGGCAGGCTTTCCAGAGGACTGATCCATTCCGTCCGGTGGATGAAATGCCCGGATACCCGCTAGGTACCTATAGGTACCTGATAGTATTAGAGTGCTATGCTGACTACTAGTTTGCGGAGTAGCGCGGTAGCTACCAACGGGATTTTCAACCTTCAGCAGAATTTTCAGATTCGTCAAATGCTCAGCTGATAGGCACTGCTTGAAGTAGGAACGGGGATGGTGTGAAAGTTCTATACCGTGAGAGAAACTGCGAAATAGAGCTGCCCAGTCACACATCCTCACACCGACGCCACTGTGTGGCGCCTCGCCGCCAGCAGTGTCCTAATGTGTCAGTAGATTCTGGGCCCTGTAGGGTATCCGTCCTCATTTCTGCAGCCCGGAAGACTGTAGTCCTTGGTCTCCTCAGCCCGACTAATTCCGTCCCGGGCCGGGCAACCTCAAAGACGGACGGGACGGACGGTTGACAGCCCTGCACGTACCGACAGTCCACCCTACATAGGTGGGAATGCACATCCATCGATTGTTTGGGATAGCAGCAGCAAAGCAGCAAGCAAAAACCTCGTCTCCTCGCGCAGCGGCCAGGAAGACGATGTTTTTTTAGAGGAAAACCCATAGGTAAAAAACCTCACCACGTAACCAGTGGCCATGGAATGTCGCTTCACTCACCTCCGATGGTCCACCCCATGCGTCCGACGATCGCATCCACCGTGGTCTCCCCCTCTGCCACCAACACCAGCTTCTCCCTCGCCGCGTACTTCTTCGTATCCGCAGCTTCCCAGAGCGGCTGAGGAAAGGTACGACCTTTCCCGAGTTTCCTCTGCCGTCTTTTACTCCGTGCTACTAAGAGAGCACGAAGTGGGCAAGTCCCATAGACGTCGACCCATTGGGTGACGTCTGGACCTTCGGAGAGGCTTGGTGCGGGGCGTTCGCGAACGATTGGCGACTCGCTGGGCCTTCCGACCCACGGCTTCATGAGCGTAACGTCGGGCCTCCGCCTGACGGGCGCATAGATGCACAGTGTACCTAACATCATCAGTGAGGGAAGTAGGTATGCGCAAGGGAAAGCAACTTACATCCATGAGCATGCCGTCGGTCGTGGTTTTCTCGACGCCGCAGACTCGTCAACACGTTGGAGGCCGTGCGCAGCTGTACCTGTCAGTCTGGGTGATCATATCTTAATGAATATTGCGTGAACTTACAGTCTTGACGCTTATCCCGTTGTCGTCCGCCTCCTCGAAGGCCAGCTCGATGGCTGCCTTTATTTCTTCGGTTGTTGCATCGTGTGCAACACCGATCAGCGCATAGTAGCAGCTGATTCGACCCATCGTGATAGCTCGTTGGTAACTGCGAAAGGGTTGGCGAAAAGGAAGAAAGTAATGTCGATTGTTGCTATCTGGGTTGTGATAGGAACCAGAGAGATGTAGAGGAAAGGAAGAATGGTTGTCGTCAAACTATTTATACGGATTGCGGACCCTCGGCGAGTCGCCTCAACTTCAATTCCACTTGGTAGTGAAGGGTCGTTTGCTCAGGCTTCATTCACCCTCAACACGCCCGTCGGCTAGTACATCACCTGACAACATAGGGTCGAAAGCGCCACAGCACTGAGGATTACCGCGCCTACTGTCCATACGGCGGCAAGGTATTCGACAATAAGTGGTTGGTGACGGAATCGAGCCACCTGAAAAACGCCTACTATTGACGGAGAAAAGACGAGCCAAGTTGAGACACTGCGTCAAGAACGTATCCGGGACTGCTGAAACCTGAACCGCTTACAACCGGGCTGTCTTTGGTTCATGCATTGATTTCATACGGCCTATGTAGATCATCGCAATATCCGCCCATGCACCCTCCATTTCCACGCCACTGTCTAAAACCCAACTTTCTGTGTCTTCCCCTGCCCTCCGCCCAGCCTGTGCCAGCAATAGACTGAGAGCCCACCGAAGTAATGAAACTAGGAAAAGACACCTTCCGCTCCCTCTCGGGCCGACTCAGCCTCGCCTCTGTGTCTCTTCAACAAGAGATGCCATGAAAGAGGACGTGGGGAAGACCAACGAGAGTGATCCCGGTTCATAGACTTCTGCACCATCCTTCCCCTCTCGCCTCAGCTCCGCCTCCCTCTCTTCACGCTCCCTGAGCTCTTGGTCGGACACATCGTAGGTAACGCATGGAGCTTCCTTCTCGGAAAACGCGAGTGATAGTGTGAGATTACTCACAGGCTGTCGTGTGCCTTCCAGCTTTAATAAGTTGCGTGCAATGCTGTTTAACTCGGGGATTCAAACACTTCACCATCCCCGTACGGGTGGTTTGTTAAACGGTCCAAACAGAAATTCAACCGAATAAAGAGACAAGAGACTGGTGTTTGAAACCATGAATTATATTTTGGTTTTGGCTAGCCTACAAGGTGATTCTGGTAATCTATGTCCTAATAAAGTCCGGAAAAGCTCGCTGACTCTGTTACTGGTAATAGTCGCATAGCGATATCGCGTTGAGGCGCTGTGGAATTGTGGCGCTATGGTTTTGTGGCGCTATGGTCTTGTGGCGCTGTGGTGCTAAGGTTATGTCATGCTGTGGCGCTCTGAAGGCCTTGGTCAGTGCGCGTGAGCACGTGATTCAGATCGCGGTGGGCTGGCAGGTGGAGTAGCTCATTAATTGACACTCTTCTCCATCTTCCATACCGACCAACCTCACTGCTTATCACGGTAATCTTCAGCGTGTCGATGAAAACGTTAGACAATATTAGGTGGCAGGCAGACATCACCGTCAAGACAAACCATCCGCATCTGTAAAAACGAGTAGCAGTGAGGTTTCCGTGGTTACCAGTATTAGGGACGCTCCGGCACTTTAGCACCTCTGGTTTTCCACAGCATAGGTATTCCCCATCTCAGACGAACGGTCAGCCCTCCGCTTCATCTTTGTCTCCCCTTTCCTGTCCTGCTTCACCATGCAGTTTCTTGCGGTTTACGCTCGTATCGCAGATTCACCCAGTCTACATATGTAACTGAAAGTTTCTGGCATCTAAACGAAAATATCACGTGAGATTCGGAGGCCGAAGCGAATATAAAGTTGAAGTCCGTTGGGTTCCGGAGGTACCTGGTGAGCTCGGCTCGTCTCGGCTCGGTCAAGAAGGGTACGCTCGGTTAACCGATGACAGATGCAGTCCCTGTCCGGGCTGTCCCTGATTACATCTGACTCGGCATGATCGGCCCTGAGTAGCACAGGGATAAGCGAACACTTTTTTACACGTGTGAAGCGAGCATATGAAGCTCGAGTCTCGACAAGACCAAGAGCCCCACATCTCCCCGAACATTCCCCGCATCGATCAATCCCACGCGCGCCCTCATCCACCCACAATGCCGTCCAACGACACACCCAATGCTAACGGCACCTCCCCCAACTCGGGCGACGAGCCCAGGATCGGCCGCGAGCTGTGGACACATCCGGCGCCTGAAACGACGCAAATGCACGCTTTCAAGACCGACATCTCGCGCAGATACGGCATCACATTTGGCCCCGAGACCGACGCGTCCGCGAGTCTCTGGCGGTGGTCGGTCGACAACATTCCCGAGTTCTGGGCCGAAGTGTGGGATGCGTGCGGGATCCGCGCCAATCGCCGGTTCGACAATGTATGATACCCATCCATTCGCCAGGAGGGATGTAGTTAGACGCAGGGCTGATCTATTAGGTTGTGGATCCCGCCGCACCGATGTTTCCGCGCCCCAAGTGGTTCTCTGGCGCGAAACTTAATTTCGCGGAAAACTTGCTGTTTCCGCAGGTAGCCGAACCCCCGCACGAGGATGCGATAGCGATCATTGCGGCTACGGAGGAGACGAGGGATCGCAAGACGTGGAAGGAGCTCCGGGAGCGCGTGAGGGTCTATGCTGCGGCCATGGCGGGGAAGGTGCAGGCAGGGGATCGAGTTGTCGGTACGGACTTTCCCTTTGAACCCTGAGGTGGCCATGGGCTTAAGTAGCGCTGATGTCTGTTTCATCCAGGATTCGTGGGGAACCATTTCGAGGCACTGGTGGCTATGTTGGCTGCCACCTCGCTGGGTGCGATCTGGTCGGGTGTCAGGTACGGGCTCGTTGCACCCGCACACGTCATCCTCCCGCGCTGAATTCTTCGCAGCCCGGATAACGGCTCCACCGCTGTCTTAGACCGGTGGACGCAGCTCGAACCCACTGTCCTCTTCGCCGATAATGCCGTCTTCTACAACGGACGAGCCCACGACTCGATAGCCAAGCTTGCTGAGATTTTGAAGGGCCTCCCGTCGCTGAAACATGTCGTCGTGCTGGAGAAGTTCCCGGCCATTCCCGTCGACTTGAGTATCTTGACATTATCAAGCGACGGCAAAGCATGGCTAGAGGAAGAGTTTTTGGCGGCGGCAGAGGACCCCCGGAGGCCGCTTGAATTCTTACAACTCGAGCCGGATTGGCCGGTTTACATCTTGTTCTCATCCGGGACCACCGGCAGTATGTTCTGTCTTCTTTTAGAGTTCCCTGGCCCGCCCATAGTGACTGACGGTTCCTACAGAGCCCAAATGTATCTGCCATGGAGCTATTGGCACCTTGATCCAACACAAGAAGGAGCACACGCTGCACTGCGACATGAAGCCGGGTGACGTGTTCTTCCAGTACACCACCGTCACCTGTGAGTGCCTACACGTAACTCGCAGTCCCTCGCACATGCTGACTTCATAGGGATGATGTGGCATTGGCTTGTTTCTGGTCTGGCCAGTGGTCTGACAGTTGTCCTTTATGATGGTTCTCCATTCAGGCCGCTCGTCGACGGGAATGGAGATGCGGCGATGCCGGGATTGATCGAGGAACTCGGGTGAGCCACCGATTGGTTATCTTCACACCCACTTGGCTTATTGGTTACCAGCGTGACGCATTTTGGAACCTCCGCCAAATATCTGTCGATACTCGAACAGAAGAATATTCAGCCCAGTATGTATCCAGACTCATATTTCCCTTCACGAATGTGGTCCCTTCTACTAAATATATTCCAGGAGACAGATACCCGCTGAAATCCCTTAAGGCAATATACTCGACGGCCGCAGTATTGGCTCCATCGACTTTCGAATATGTCTACCAGGCATTCGGCGCCATCAACTTAGGCTCCATTACCGGTGGTGCGTATCTCCCCAGCTATGAGCCTCCGCTTTCTCTCTTCTGAACTGTTCGCTACAGGAACCGACATCATCTCTCTTTTTGGAGCGCCAAACCCTCTTGTGCCCGTTCACAGCGGCTACATCCAGTGCATCGGGCTGGGAATGAAAGTCGAAGCCTTCGACATATCCGGCAAGAACTGCGAGAGGACTAACGAACCCGGGGACCTCGTCTGCACCGCGGTGTTTCCCAGTACGTCCCGCATCCCCTAACCCCTCCGGCATCGCTAACCACCTGACAGGCCAACCCGTATCCTTTTGGGGCGCGGACGGCGCCGCCGCCTACGAGCGCTCCTACTTCACCACTTTCCCGGGAATCTGGCACCACGGCGACTTCGTCAAGATCTCGCCGACCACGCGCGGCCTCCTAATGCTCGGGCGCAGCGACGGCCTACTCAAGCCTGCCGGCGTGCGTTTCGGCAGCGCAGAGATCTACAATATCCTGCTCTCGCACTTTCCCACGTCCATCAGCGACGCGCTGTGTATCGGCCGTCGCCGCACGACCGATACCGACGAGGCCGTGGTGCTCTTCTTGCTCATGGCGCCGGGACACGAGCTTACACCCGAATTGATGAAGGAGATCACGCAGGTCGTTGCTAGGGAGCTCAGTAGCAGACATGTGCCCGCGTTCATCGAACAGTGTCCGAAGATCCCGCTTACGACTAATGGGAAGAAGGTCGAGGTCGCGGTAAAGCAGATATTGTCTGGCTGGGATGTTAAGGTCAGTGCTAGTGTGGAGGATCCAGAGGTGCTGGATTGGTACCGGAAGTGGGCGGAGGAACATTAGATGGGATGCGGTGGGCATGATTAACAGTCGCGGGGCGGGGTGGATAAATGGAAGTCCTCAGCAATACATGAACTGGACAGAGACGTACTCACCGTTGAAACCGTAGTACTCGACGGTCTCACGTCCCAGTCAAGTGCGTATTGTCAGGACGAACTTTCCAATAAACGAGTGACATCGTGTGTGCGATGTCTGGTTGTCGTCTGATGGAATTCGTTGAACTCTGCAATCGTCCGAGGATATACACCGGTGGCTATATTGGTCGCAAGCATATTTTGAGAAGTAACAACTGTTGTTACTGTCTAGTATTTCTACTTTTTCCGCCTTCCAGCGTCCGAGACCACTTAGTCGCCAGCATAGCCAGCGTAGATAGCTAAGAGCCCGATCATACGGGAAAATAACCAAGTGCAAGACAGTCGCCCTTCCCCAGAAAGAGCCACGAGGATGCCATACCTTGCTCCAAGCCCGACCGCATCACGTCGCAGCACTCGGTCAGTGAGTGATTTCCTGTGAAACTCCGTGCACAGCTTATCGACTCGCAGCAAGACGGAAACTGACCGTGAGATGCCGATAGTCATCGGTAGTAGTAAGCTAATTTGTGGCCATCGTGTCAATGCTACAGGGCAGATGAATCAGCGAGGTTTTTTGCGAGTATACAGTAGCCACTGATGGTATGTTACATCAGCGCTCACCGGCCATGACTACAGTGCGGGCGCTTATCGATCTGGAGCCAATGCTGCGGATGGGAGCGAGCGCAAGTCCTAGTCGCGATGCTATTACAGTCTTTACATCCTCCGGAAGCAACCAACGTCGCTTGTAGCTACCTATCCACGGAACGGCCGTAGTTCCATACTTCCATACTTCCCGAGTGAAAAGTTCAACCCAAGTATCTTGCATACCGCCGTACCAAATCACGTCGCGCCCTCAAGTTTCAGGTTTCCAGTTTCAAGTCTCAAGTCTCAGTTCAACCTTTAACATTGGATTACCGAACTCCGCGCAGCGTACTCCCCTTACCACTATCCCCACTATCCCCACTATCCGGCGACTCCTCACGCGCCTTCCTCTTCCTTGTATTCCTCTCGTCGCCCGCCGGCTTCCGTCCGTACGCCACATAGCTGCCGCTCCCACGCATCAGCCAAGTCCCAAAACCGCCCTCGTCCTGGAAATGAATGGGAAGTTGGAAGTTGGAAGTTGGAACTGGGAACTCACTGCTTCAGGTACACGTGCTTGCTCTTGTTCTTTGTCTCGTCGAGCGCTTCGCGGCAGATCCTGTCCGCTTCCTCATAGGACATGCCGAGAATCCGTGTTAGGGCGGCCATGCCTTCTTTTTGTCAGCCGGGAGGAAGAGCGGGGGGAAGGGAAGTGGGAGTACTGTAAGCTTGAAACGCAGACTCGCTCTGCGCCCAGTTCATTATTCCAATCTTCTTCATCCTCTGCGTAGGCATGTCTCATCATCAACCCCGCTCCTTCTCTGCCCCTGCCTCTCTCCCCCCGATCATCGGAAAGCGCACTCACAGCATCTTTCGGCCACGGCCCCATGACCATTTTCAAGGTGAACGAGTGAATATCGACGAATCCTGCGCGCATGAGCATGGCCTCCTGCATTCCGTCGCTCATGGGCGGCCGCCCGATCCGCAACATCGCCTCGCCCAGCTTCTGCGTGAACGACAGCATCGCGCTGCTGCCGGATATGCTGCCGTCGTCGCTGTAGAACTTCTGCCCGCTCTCCGAAAGCTCTAGGTACGTGCCCGGTTTGGCGCAGCTGGTGGGGTGTTAATACGACCGGGGTACTCGGGGGGAGGGGGGCTTGGGGGGCTTGGGGGGCTTGGGGAGAAGCAGGAGAAGAAGCTACCGGTAGGCTTCAGACAGGACGTGATCCCAGTGTGAGATCCCTTTGCGCGGTCAATGCCGGTCCTCCATCACTGCCGCTGGGGAGGAGGAGGAGACAACCTTGGTTCAAATTCCGCATGTGGATGAAATCGAACGAGTTCTGAGACCGTCCCCACGGGTCAGCGCCACAAAGTCTTGACCGAAGGCTCCGTGGAAACTCACGTCCACATGGATCCACTCTTCTTCGGCATCGTCGATCTCGAAGCGACTAGTACCGGAATGAGCTGAGTACGGTATCGCACAGAGCTACTTGGGGAGGGAGGCGGGGGACATACCAGTTCGGCGGCACCCTGCGAATCTCAGTTCACTCGGTCCCGTCATGTCTATCCGTACCGCTCATAGGCCAATCCAATGCACTCTCACTCACCAATTCGGCTGTATCGGACTATTTATCCTCCCCTATCAGCCATCCTTAATCCTTAACCATCACTCGGCACACCAACCCACTCACGCACTCACCTAAGATCAATCCCCAAAACCTCGCAGTCGGGGTACTTCTCGGCCATATCGATGGCCCAGATCCCGCTACCCGTGCCGACGTCCAGGATCCGCTTCGGCTCCTTCGGCGCCGGCGCACCGTGCAGCTCGCCGCGCAGCTGCTGCAGCAGGACTTCATGGTTGAGGTCGAGTCTTCTCCACGATCAGCACCCACTCACCACGCATGCATTATGAAAAGGTGTACAGACCGATCCCGCTCTTGCTACTTCACCCGTCAGCTCAGAAACCTCAGCAACCGTGCGGCGGGGACGCATGGGGATGGTGGGGTACCTCATCAGTAGGAATGATATACTTATCCACGCCAAAGTACGTATGATACCTGCGGCCGTTCTCGAATACGTACTCGTGGATGCTGTGCGTGATGCTCCCGATGCTGGTGCCAGAGCTTCGTTCCACATCTCCCGTCAATCCCCACACACACACCCAGGATGAGGAGGGGAGGGGTGGGAGGGCTAAGAGGGGAGAGTGATACCCCGCGGATTCATATGTCGAGTCGTCGTCGTTATCCCATATCGGGTCGACCTCGATGTTTCCGTGGCCGTTTCCGTGGCCGTGGCCCGCCGCAGGGTGCGAAGACATCATGCCTGTTCTTTTCCGGCGTCTGAGTAATTTATCACTGTGTGAGTAATTGAGAGTGTGTGTATATGTGCACGTATGTGTGCGTGTGTGTATGTGTTTATGTGTGTGTGTGTGTCTCCAGGCTAAATGTGCTATTCGGGACCCGTTGAGGTGGGGGAGCGGATCAACCTGCTTTATACTCTCCACTGTACTCTACCTACTCTACACAGTCTGCGACGTGCGTGCGTGCGTGCTTACTGCCGGACACCAGCAGCAGCAGCAGCATACATAGCCATATACCCATGGCCATGGCGCGCATCCATGGCCGCATCCATGCGGCAGGCATCGGTACATACGAGATTGCCGCCCTGCCAGCCCATGCATCCCATGAGCGGGAGCTTGCTGCTCGCCTGTGGTGCCACAACGGCGGACGGTAAATCTCAAAGTGGCTGAATTGAGCACCGAGCCGGAAAATCGCTGCATGCGGCAGGATGGTGAGCCACTGCAGTGGGGCTGGAGGCTGGGGCTAAATGCCGGCCTATATGTTATGTACGGATATCAATTTCACGTGCGGCAGGCAGGTGTCGTGTGCGGAAATCGAAATACGATAACCCACAAAAAACAGTAAAAGAAGAACCTCCCCGTAGACATACATTGTACTCGTTATACATCGTAGACCTTAAAAAAAGTCGGAAAAACGTTGAAAGAAAAAGAATTATCCCCCGTGTATATCCCATCAAGTATAAAGCGTCTCAGTGAGGGCATTGAGTCCCAACCCCTCCTGGGCAATATCCTCCTCACTAAGGAAATCCAGCGGCATCTCCACCAACATACCCCTGACAGCACTAAGTATCTCCTTAACCTCCCTTGCGCCCTGCGCGCCAGGCGAGAACTCGCTTCGCACCACGTGACCCCACGGCTCAGCGGGCTTTGGCTTCTCGGGCTCGACGCCAGCCTCCTTCTTCGCCGGCTTGGGCGTCGCAAAGTGTTTACCCCAGTACTCGTCGTACAGCTTCCAGTTCGTGACGAGATCGTGCGGCACGGAGTGGAACACCTTCGCGAAGACGTCCGTGTTGATCTTTGCCGTCTGGTTCCAGAAGCCCCAGAACTCGTCCGACAGCGGGTCCTCGACGAGTCGGTCTTCCGGAGAGTCAAAGTCGTAGATGTTGGGCACCGGAACGGGCTGCATGTTTTCGTCCACTGTGTGGAAGTTCTGCGCGGGGATGAGACCGAGGTGCTTGCGGAAGATCTGCCGCCGAAGCGTCGCCGCGAAGTGTGCTGCAGTGTATCGGCGACCGTTCATGTGCGATGGCAGAGGGGTCGGGTCTTCGATGACACAGGCGATTTCCGAGTCGTGGTCACCGAGCTGCGAACGGTCATTGAGGTTGGCGGAACCCATGAGGACGATACGGTCATCGGCGATCAGAAGCTACGGATTCGGGTCAGCTAGAAAACAGTGAGACGAAGCGCTTCAACGTACCTTGGAATGCACGTATAGTTCCTCGCTGACGAAAGCGTTGATCTCCTCGTCAGGATTTCCATCCCACGGGACCTGGCGGATATCGCCTCCGCCGAGCATGACACACTTGGCAACAGAGTCCCATTCCCCCTTGGAGCGGAGGTTAGGTGCGTTCTTTTGATAGCGGGTATATTCGTCACCCCTGACAGGTGCTCCGTATTGCCCTGCCTGGCCGCCTTGGGCACCGTAGCCGACACCACCGCCAACGGCTTCGTCGTGAGCTCGGGCGGCAGCCTCGTAGTTGACACCCGTCTGCTCGCCTCCTATCTTCGCTCCAGCAGTGTTGATCCTGTCGTACGATCTCAAGTTGTAGAAGCGAATGTATTCCTTCGGATCGACGCCGGCCTTTTTGAGCTGCTCGTAGATGGAGTATCCACGGTCACGGTTTATACTGCCAATTACGTAATCAGTATTCACAGAACATCACCTAAACTCGGGGAAGATGAACTCACGATCTGTACTGAAACTCCATAATCGCCCTGGTGCCAAGAGCATCATCGCCTTGTAAATCTCCCGCGAACCCAGGGATTGCAGGGATGACCACGACGATCCTAAACCTTTCGGCATCGTGATGCGCACGAATGATCCTGTCCACGATAGCGCGTCCAATCATGTTCAGGATCGGCTTCTGGTTAGGGTCGGTAGCAGTGATGAAGAACTGGTTCTCCATGTAGACGAAATGTCTGGCCGCCTGGATGATCTCGATGTACGCGTTCGCAACGGAGTGCTCCGTCTCGATTGTGCCATGAGACCACTTGCTGATCGAACGGCAGATCTGGATCCGAACGCCCTCGGGCTCCTCACGCCTGGGAGGTGGTCTACCGTAGTAATCACCCTCCGGGTAGTCACCATCCTCGTAGAGGTTCTCCTTGAGCTTCTCCTTGAGGTGACGGCGGTGGTAGCCGTGGCCACCCCTGATGGCGGAATCGTCCAGGCGTTTGTATTTGACGACGCCGCGAGCATCGTATTTGGAATCGTAGATGAAGTTCCACCGCTGTATGAAGTGCGTCTTCAGGTCTTCGACGCCTGGGCCGACCAATGACATGGCGACATCGGTCCAGCCCATCCTTGAATGCTCGAGGCGGGACACAACATTTTCCTCCCATTTGTTGACATGCTGGAAATCCAAAAATCGACCCTGATCGCGATTGTCAGTACTTCACCCTCGGTACGACATGCCATGCTTACATTGTTGTAGTCCTGCCCGGGGTAGATGACCGTGCTGATATCACTTGGATGGGCATCAGCAATGGGATGTTCATTCGTGTCAAACTACACATGATGGGTCAGTAGATCCCGGGTACGGAAGGCGTAATGGGAAAATCCATACTCGTCCGAAGCACAGATCCAGGCCTCCCATAAAAGCAATAGTGCCATCAATGAGACAAAGCTTCTCGTGGTGAGCAAAGTACAGGGTGATGTCATCCTTGAAGCCGTAGATCCTTGTAATCGTTTAGCAACCATTTGAGTTGACGCGGCATCCTCCGCCCTGAACTTACCCTTTGAGTCCGTCGCCAAGCTTGTAATTGCCAGACTTGATCTTCGACCATGTGTCACGGATGACGTTGTCGCGATCCGGTAAATGGTCGGGATGTCTGAAGACGCAGATGTTGGGATGCAAGTCCTCCAAAGCGTGCTTGGTGTGATGGGAATCAACTACAACATACACCGAGTCAGTCTGCTGGTTGCAGAGCGTCCACCATGGAGAAGGGGAGAATCCTTACGGGTCAGAGCCTGAGTAACCTCCTTGTAGACGACGACATTGATAAGAACTCCCCTCGCTGCGGCGGCCTGGAGCATACGATCCAATCGATACTGCTCATTATATTTCGGCGGTCGGCGTAAGTATAGCTCTGGACTCAACCACCCTGAGTGTCGGTCATCAGTATCGGGTTTCTCGCTCCAGTCATCGAGAGAATCAACATACAGTCCAAGATCCAGATCGATTCGCGAGCTCTTTCTAGTGCTACCGAGACGGCAAACATGTAATCCTTGCCATCGACATACCACTTGGCGGCATTGCCGTTGCGCACTGGCGCAAAACTCTCGAATCGTTCCCCGGTATGAGCTTCCGGCGCAAAGTTTACCTGACCCGTATTCGAAAACGAGGAGGTAGCGGGAAACAGGGTTCGCGCGTATCCGTGCAATGCGTTGTTCAATCCTTTGGAGAATGTGTCGAGGACGGACCCGCCTTGGTTCGGTGTCGAGGGTGTCGAAAGCCTGCCGGAGAAGAAGGTATTGCCGGTTCCCTCGCCGGCCTCCTGGGCAGTGGAGTGTGCTTGAGGCTTGTATCCTGCAGTGACCGTACCCCCGGTAGCGTACTGAGGACGAGAGTTGAAGCTGAGGCCAGCAGCCAGACCGGCGGCTATACCGGCGACTCCGCCAGCTGAGGCTGGGGCTGGCGGGGCACCCATCGAGCCCCCCAAAGCGGGTGCGGGAGGAGGAGGAGGGTATTGGCCGTGGTAGACTTGTGCGGGCGGAGGAGGACCGGAGAGTGGTGGGTACTGAGCTTGATAGACGCCCTGGAGTGGCTGTGGGGGATATCCCTGATAAGCTCCCTGGGGTTGATGAGGAGGAGGAGGACCGGATGGCGGTGGGTACTGGGCTTGATACGCTCCCTGGAGTGGAGGAGGAGGACCAGGCGGCGGTGGATATTGGTTTTGGTAACCACCTTGAGGTGGTGGGGGCTGGTACTGACCCTGGAATCCATGAGCGGTCGGAGGGGAAACGTGAGCGTATGAGGGAGAACGAGGGGGTTGGCCGTACGGAGACGGAGAATTGTAGGGGGCGTACTGCGACGGAGGTGGTTGTTCGTATCCGGGTTCCGGTCCTCTCTGATAGTCTCCATTGCCATAGGGCTGATGATGTCCGGACCGTTCATGTTCGCCACGGTAACCGGAAGCAGGACCTGGGCCGTAAGGCTGATACTGTCCCTGCGGCTGCGGCGGCGCATGAGAGGAAACATACTCCACCTGGCCGCGGCCAGAGTGTTCACCGCCGCGACCGTACTCATCCCCATAGCCTGACCTGCGGCCCTCGCGATCATATTCTTCATGGCCTCCCCGGCGGCCCTCGCGCTCACGATCCTCATAGCCTCCCCTGCGGCTGTCGCGATCATACTCCTCGGCTCTGTGCCCGCGACTCTCCTTCTCCTTCTTTTTCTTCAGCTCCTTCTCCTGCTTCTTTCGCTGCTTCTTCTGCTTCTCGTACTCATCGTCGCTCCGTTCCTCGTCGGATCTGTTGCGGTATCGGCGCGATTCCTTGTGCGAGCTGCGGCGGCGGTCCTCCTCCTCGTCGGATTTCTCGCGACGGTAGCGACGGTCGGGAGATCTGCCCATAGCTACGGTATCGTGTTGCTATGCTAGCGATTAAAAAATTCTGTCGATTCCGTTCTTTCCTTGCTAGAGGGGGGGCTATTATAGAGGATGAACGATGGGCGGGAGGGATCAACAGCGGATGATGGGTGTTGGGGTGTTGGGGGGATGGAATTCCTGCCAGATGAGATGCGATCACTTGCGGGGTGATTGGCCCAGCCGACATGACGTACGACACGTACCCCTGCGCCTCATCTTTCAGCTGGCTCCGAATGGAATAGGCAGGACTGAATGGATTCGGACGGCTAGTGCTCACGCCGAGGAAGTTCCGGTGAATCGGCGAATTGGCGAATCGGCGCATTAGCGATTGGTCTCGTGACATCCCATAGGTATTCCTCTCGGAGAAACCGCCTTATCAGCTGCGGATCGCGACGTTGAGCTCTCATGGATCTCTACCTAGCAGCCGGTGCGGGGCGGGGGGAAGGGGGGGGGGCAGGGACCAAGTTATTCAGTTACACCGGGATTACCTCAGTCCGGGCTAACCAGAGTAGTTGCAGAACGTCCAGGCTTCAAAGTTCAGCCGCTTTTACTCGTATGTAGAGTACCTGCTGTCGCATCCGGATCACGATACGTAGCATTTCGCTGAAGATTTCAATCGTCAATGTGAGCTTTTTTGCCTGCGAAGTTGCCACGAGTCACGATACCTACAATCCGAAATGTGATATGTACCTGAAAGCCCGATTGGTCACATAGTGTTCCACACACCGGAAAGTTTCGCATGCAAGATCTCCATACATAGGGCTGGTGAGATTTCATATCGAATCCTTCTGTGCTTCTACTAGTAAACCCAGTACCGTAGGTATTCAATGTATGATGAAAAGAGGTGCTGTGTGTGTGGCCAGCGACTGTGCGGGGAAATGTTTCCGTCGAAGCTCCGGTAGAGTATGTACGATAACGTTTTTGTTTCTTTTTCCCGTTTATGCGACTGTTATGTACCCATAAATTCTCGCCGCTTTCCCCACTAAAGACACAAGACGGAATGATAACGCTCTCGACAGACACCGAATCACCGCCCGTTTCGCCCGTGTCGCCCGCCCACCGACCCGATGGTTCACCGATTGTACAAGGATGCGCCAGGCGGCGGGAGGCTCGGTCGGGATTTGTAAGCGAGCGGGCGCCGGGTGAAGCCTAAAGTGTCCACATACATACAAGGTACTCTATGCACAAGGAGGAAGCCTTAAGTCATGACCACCTCCATTTCATACCCTAGCCGACCGCAGCAAAATGAGTGAGATATAATGAACGTTTGTGTGGAGATCAAATGCCCTTGGCACTGACGGCGAAATGGAGGTGGCCACGACTAATCCTGGCACCCTGTACATACGCCGCACGCTACATACCCTTCACGGAATCATTATGTCACTATCATAGGAAGTACAAACACTCCGTACCACACGGTACAGAGCAGTACCGCTATCACCGCATCAGCGGGTCTGGTAATGACGCGTACCGGCTGCGGCCATCACAGGCAGGATACCGGTACAGCTGCGAAACGGTCAGTACTGCTGGGTACTGTGCAGTACCGCTACCCCCGCATTGTTGGACGCGGTACTGACGGCTACTGGCTGCGGCGGCCGCGGGGAGGCCACATTCGGTGGTACAGCTCTGCAGTCATCAGTGCTGCTCAGTACAGAACGCTACTGCCATATGTATTACCGAGTACTGGACTGGCGAGTACTGGCTGCAGCCAGAGCTGGTACGTTACATGGAGTTGTATACCTACGAAACCACCATAACCGTGCAGTGCAGAGCAGTACCGCAATCGACGTCTTGCCGCTGACAGTACTGGCAAGTACACACTGTGGCTGTGGGCAACGGGCTGGAATGAAAACTTGTGTTGATGGTAGTGCAGTGTAGTACTCGGTACTGTTTGGGGTATGGAGACCTTGCCCTACGCGGCCTCGGCCATCTGACTGTCGGCCAAATAGTTACCAAGTGGCGAGTGACAGCATATGAAGGGCTGCAACGGCTAGTTGAGGTCGAAAACCGGTTTCCGTCGATAGTAGGTTCACCTATAAAATGACCCATCCCCACCTCTCCTCTCCTTTCCTTTTTTCTCTCCATCGCACTTCTTTCGACCACTTCCCCCTCCACTTCCTGCTACAATCTTCACATTCCCACACTTACTTTTTCCCCACTCCCACAATGGTCAAAAGAAGAGCGACCGACAAACCTGAAGGAGCTCTACCCGTAAAGCGGAAGTCCCGGACGGGAAGTCAACCCCCTCCCCCTCCTCCCCCTCCTCCTCCCCCCGTCCCCCCAGCACCTGCGTCCGTTCCTGGTCCCGGTCACGCCGTCGCTCCTGGTGCTAGCACTAGGTCGAAGAGGCGGGCGACCGAGGATCCGGACGGGGCAAAGCTGCCGCACGCTGAGAACACACGCCGGCCGGCCTCTGGGTTTTCCCTACCTCTCCCTCATCCTCCGCCTCCCCCTGCCCCTGCCCCTGCCCCTTCCCCTTATCCCACGGCCTTGACCTCATTGCGCGACAAGGGCCTGGTCAAGCGAGCTGAAGAGCTCGTTGTGGCCGCCCAAGATTGCTGGCGGAAGGGAGATGATGTGGCTGTCGCACGGCTAGCAGACGAGATCCGGCTGATAAAGAAGATAGCCGATACGCGGACGGATCTGGCGAAGCCGAAGAAGACGAAGGTGCTCGGAGCCTTCAGGCAGATCCTGACCTGGAAGACAGGGCTGTCAACCGTCCGTCCCGTCCGTCTTTGAGGTTGCCCGGCCCGGGACAGAATTAGTCGGGCTGAGGAGACCAAGGACTACAGTCTTCCGGGCTGGAAAAATGAGGACCGATACCCTGTAGGGCCCGGAATGGATTGGGACACTAGGACACTGCTAGTGGCGTGGTGCCACACAGTGGCGCCGGTGTGAGCACGTGTGGCTGTACGGCTGTATATCCCAGTGTCTCTCACGGTACATATAGAACTGTCACAATCCTCGATCTTAATTCCAGCACTGTCTATCCCCTGAGCCCAATTGAATTGTTTTGTGACTCTGAAAATTCTGCTCAAGGCTGAAAGCCACCGCGCGACTACTACGCAAGCTACTAGATGACTTCATTAGTATTGGGATAGGCTGACGACAGGGGCTCAGCCTTGTTGTGCAACCTTCATACATTTCTCATTTTTCTTCAAAACAGCGATTTAATTATCACCACAACCACTGTTCAAGACCTTTTCTTTCCCTCAAACATTTTTTGACATTGTCATCATGATAGTTGTGGTGGTTGGGACTGTTGGGTGATGAGAGGGAGACCCTCTCACTGTCATCAGCCTCATCTTGCAGCGCCAAGATTCAGCCTATCCCAGTACTAATGAAATCATCTAGTAGTAGTCAGCATAACACGCTAGTGCTATCAGGTACCTATGATAGGTACCTGGCGGGTATCCGGGCTTTTCATCCTCCGGACGGAATGGATCAATCCGCTGGAAAGCCTGCCCGGGACGAAACTAGTCCGGACGGACGGTTGACAGCCCTGCGAGGAGACCATGGAAGGGCGTAATATTTGTCATCAATTTTTCTTTTTTTAATATAAAATCCAGAAGAAAAAATTTAAACGTAAAAAAACCGTGCCGCTCTTCGTGATTGTTTGTACATAATGTCGACGGAAGAGGGGAAGGAGGACACCCTCAATCTACCCAGATATAGGCGTTGGCTTGTCACTCTATGTAGTCTCCGACTGAAAGGCTGCTTTGCGGAGCACACCTCACACCTCACGAGTCCCGGCGATATGAGTTCTTCGCCTACATATGGATTCCTACGAAGGAAACCGAGGAGGAGACCTGCGCCCGCCCGTTCGCCGGTAGGGTTTCACGGGAGGGACGGGAACACACTCGAATACGAGCCTATGAGCGGGGTGTGATGAGAACAAATATCCGTATTACTTCGTGCATTCAGTACACATCTCCCGCATTCGGCCACGTTCGAAAGAAGAATAGATATCAGAATCCGAATTCAGAGCATACACCGCCCCTCCCCGCTGACCAACTTTTACTACCATCAGACTTCGAGTAAGTCCCCCTCTCATCCCCTCACGTCAGGAATCTTCATGGAGCCTCGCAGCACCACTCGTCGACAGGTAGGTGGAAGTCCGCCGGGAGCAAAGCCATGCAAGCTCTTCATGATCCTGCCCGTAGCAGTGCTTGCGGAGTTCTTTCCACGAAACATCAGCCACGCTCATTCACTCTTCCTCCTTCTCCTCCTCCTCATGGAGCGCATTGCTTACCGGAGCGACGGACAAACGGAGCTTGGCCACAGCTCATGCAGATGCGGTAGTGGTCGGGAAGGATAACATCGCATTTCGGGCAACGCCAACCCATCTTTGAGGCTTGAGGACACTGTTGGAGATTGAAGGGTAATGGAGTTGCGGGAAATAAGTAGGGATATTTGGCGGAGGAGTTCGCTTTAGAGAGCTTCTTTGTCGATAGGTAGACGATGAAGAAGAAAGAAAACAGGACGGCCGAGGGAGAGGAAGGGGCTGATATAACAATTTTCCGACCTCCCACCATCCCATTCCCATTCCCATCCCTATCCCCATCCCTCGAGATCAAGACGACTTCTTTCCCCTTTCGATATCATTCCAGCATCGAGTACCGGTACCGTATGATTCCCACCTATCCAGATGCTGTTCCCCGCGAGATTCCTTCCAGCGCCTTCCCATCCCCCTCATCGAGTCGAGTGGCCTGGCCTAGGTACTAGGTAACAAAGATTTCACGGAATCCCATCGCTGGGATCTCGTTTCTTTCCGTCCGCCGCAATCGTCACATGCCCGATTCCACTCATGCAGGGTTTTGCCGCTGTTAGCCGTCAGGCCCTATAATTTGGCGAATGATGCTTTCGGTTAAGTGGCAGATGATCTGGATCTGCCCTTCGCTTGTGTCGCTGGTGGGTGCGGAATGGGGTCCGAGATTGGCGAGGTCATGCTGGTGGTGTTGGTGGTGGTGGTGGTGGTGGTGGTGGTCTGTTGTTCTACGACGGTTGGCGTAAAATAAAACAAAACCCGTGGACGAAAGCCGTAGCTGTCATACGCTCCCATCCATCCCTCCACTTCTTCGCGATCCTGCTCGCTGGCAGGCGTAGTATCCCCTTCACAGTCCTACCCGCGTACGGTATTCCACCTTGCGCATCTACACATCACTCCCGACGTTTCCGGTTCCGCCCTGAATCCCCGGTCCTGCATCATCGTCCAAGTCAAGTCCCACGAATCCACGATCGATCGAATCGAACCACAAATCGTGTTCCCAGTGCCCAGTGCCCACTGCCCACTGCCCACGCATCTCGTACCTAGTCCAAACCCACGTTTCCGTTTCCGCAGCGGCATCTCTTCCGAAACCATCATCGGCGCGATGCGAAACAGCATACAGGGTACTGCGGATCTAAGATTTGTACAGGTAACTAGTGCCCCTCGCATGCAGGGTCCTGTGGATCCTGCGGGCCCTGGAGGGAGATCTAGATTCCCATCGGCATAATCTGGATTCTGCAGCCTGGACCGGACTGTAGAGCAGTGCTGCGAGGGGATCGGGAGTGTAGGGTGGTTTGCGGATTCTTCGTCGCGACGTCCAGCCTACGGGGAAAGGTTTATGGCGGGCGTTGGGGTATCCGTGGTTGTATCTCGTCGAAGTCGCCGTCGCCGTCGCCGTCAATTGCGACCTAATGTAGACCTTCCTCTCACCATCCACCACGTACGCATCGTGGTAACTACTAATAGGAGCTACTTCCAGCAGTCCTAGCAGCCCGAAGCTCTCGCCCTCCAGAGCGGTCGGCATGCCCTAGGGTACAAGGAATGCGGCAAGCCGCAATTAAATAAATGCCAGCCTGCCTGTAAACTTGCTCCCGACACAAAATGCGGCTCATTTGCTCTGGTAATCCAGGCTTCTGCTAGTAAATTAGCCCAAGCTGATTCAATAGGCGTTTAGCAATAATTGCGGCCAGTTTGCGATAGTGATATTTAGCAGAGCCGAGTAATTAGGCGGTTGGTAGTAAATGCAATGTCTCTCCACCACTCTCTTCGGGCATCCGTTGGTAAAAAGATACCTTGCCGCTCATTAGGCTTCCGGCACGAGTGATGAATAGGCTTCGATTTACATACAAATGGACCAGTTTCTCCCTATTCGGCCGACCCCGCCATGCGTGCCCCGCCATGCCCACCAACGTTGATGCCCGCTACTAACCACATTCGCTCCCTCCCGCTGATGGGCCCTCAATCACTACGTCATCCTCTCACCAATACCGACGGCTCCTCCGTCACTTCCTCCTCCATCTCTTCCTCCTCCATCTCTTCCTCCTCCATCTCTTACTCCTCCATCTTTTCCTCCTTCATCTCTTCCTCCTCCTTCACTTCCTCCCCTCGCGGACAGCTATTCCATCACTTCCTCATCTCGCCAACAGCTAGATACTCCTCTCCCCCTTCTCGGCAACAGCTACTCATCTCCTCCTTCTCGCGAACATCTCCTCCTTCACCTCCTCCTTCACCTCCTCCTCACTCTGACAGCTCCTCCATCATTTACTCATCTCGCTTCTCCTCTTGCTAACAGCTTCTCCTCTCCCTCACCCTCCCGATGACAGCTCCTCCTCTCCCTCCTCTTCTCGGCGACATCACCTCCATTACTCAGTCCTCCTCTCGCTAACAGTTCGTTCTTCATTTCCCCTCTCACAGACAGCTTCTCCCCTCGCTAACAGCTCCGCCATCTCCTCCCGCTCCCAAAGACAGCCCCACGTCTCACTGAGCCCTCATCCGTCACTCCACCACACAGTATTTACCTTCGTCGTCGTTCGCCCTCTTTCTCTGGTCTTCCACAGCAGGTATGTATTACGTTCCTAGACCTAGCTCGCTGCGGATACCCCACTGTCATCGCCGGTACTAACAGACTGTCTATTCAGCACGCCGTTCATGTTGAATCTGTGCTAAGGTACCCGGGTGAAGACCGGAGAGCGGGAAGAGCGGTGAGTGGCAGGGAGAGGCGGGGAGATGCGGGTTTCGGTTTGCATAGGCGCGGAGGGGAGAATATATATGGGAGTGAGCAGCAGTAGTTATCATACATAAAACCACATCATATTCAAGCAGCAGTTCGCGCTCGTGTGATTGTTGATGTTAGCCATATAAGCTCCTAAAAGCCATATTATCAAATATGCCCTTTTATAGCCGTATCAGTGACAGCGCCATTTTAGATTCCTTGTATGTAGAGCCTTTTTAGACCATGGAGCCCTTTAATAGCCGGATGAGGGCCTTTTTAGGAGCCCTTTTAGAGCCGTTTGACTGTCATCCTCCCAGGCAGTATTAACTGGTGCCCATTTAGTTATTACGGCAGTGCCGCATTCCTTGTACCCTAGGGATATGTACCTAGCTCTCTCCCACCGCTCGCTCGAATGCATTCCAGGCGGCATGTACTCCACGTAGCAAATATCTCGCCACTGCCGCAGGCTGCAGGCTGCAGCGGGCGGCATCCCGGCGCGGCCACATACGCGGGCTCCCGCGACGCAAGGGCCAACTTTCGGCAATCGCACCATCTCACCATCGCATCGCATCTGTGCACCACTGCATCCACTGTACCCACGGATCGAGCGAGGGCAAGCGCGATGTGGAGGGAGGTGGCGCTAGCTACTCCACGGTAAGGCTGTAGATTAGATCGTCAGCAGTTATATGATATATCCTAGGACTTAGGTGGCTGGCTGGCTGGCTGGATGGATGGATGGCTGGATGGATGGATAGATGGATGGATGGATGGATGGACTGGACTGGACTGCGGTGGCTTCTACGTGCGTTGAAGTCGCTGAAGACGCTGCTGGCTGGCACCGTGCATGGCTGCCGTTTGCGGCTGCGGTAACGGGATAGGTATCGACCCGCCCAGCACGAATCCGCCAACCCGTCCCGCCAGCCCGCTCACCCATGCCGTGCAGGCATGGCGGTCCTGAGACTGAGTTCTGACTGGTCTAATCAAACTAGTCGTGATGTCCACCTCGCGACGAAGAATACGAACCAGCATGTGTATGTGTATGTGAAACAGTCGTTTTGGACCTTGGTGCAAGAAGGAGGGTGGGAAGAGCGGGAAGAGGGGAAGAGGGGGAGAGCGGGAGAGCGGGAAAGCGGGAGAGAGATAACATCGATTGATCTCGCGTAGAGGTCTTCAAGATCAGATTATGGTGATTCGGGCGGGAAGAAGCGGGGGACTGATCGGACGGGAGCACCCTTCGGCCATCCGCAGTCGAGTGATGTTTCGCGATTCATGGTGGCGCTCGGCCATCTCACGTTGATTGCGCATCCCACTTTCCATACAAACCACAAGAGCTCGACAGAAATACCGCCAGTTTTCGTGGCGTGATTCGAGTGATAGTTGGAAATACACGAAGGGGCTCGAACACCTCACACTGACCGGGCAGCAGCCAGTACGATCTCCACCTACAGCCGCTTGATCGTGCATTACCCTTTTCATAGGAGCTGCTAGAGCTCGACAAAAACACCGCCTAGTCTGCAAGGCTTGACTCGAGTGACCGCCAATGCATCACGGCAGCTTTTACACGAGAGGTTGCCGCCCTCCCCAGGCATGTACATACAGTTTTCTGACCGCTCCCGCATGCTGAGTATGTTCCTCTGGTATTACCTCAGAATCACTCTACCTGTGGGTATGCCTCGATCAGAGAACCTCAGCCTCGCTGTGGTTACCGCGCTGTATTTAGAGTAGAATCGTTCATTCAAACGCAGAAAGACGGCGCATCAGATCCACTCAATATACACAGCATGTTGTTCACTCGTTCAACGCTGTATATATTGAACGAACGACAGGCACCCACGACTTTATAATTTTCGAATTGAAGTACCCATTCAGCACGAAAAAACCAACGCGTGGCCCAGTAGTCTATTCCATGCAATCGGCGAGGGGAGTTGAGGGAAAACTCTGGCTTAAACCGGGTCAAAGACCTGTGTATTCAGCTCTTGGGATTTCCTTGCCACCCACCGGGGGTGATGGTTTTTGTTTTTATTTTTGGCGTGACGGAGAGAGCACTAGTTTATGCAGATATCACTCGGTATCGTCACGTGATACGCTCTCCGCCGCTGGCTGTAGAGGCAAGTTGCTAGCACACCTCAAGCGGGAAATCTCTGGGAAGAAGTGAATAGAAGCCACACAATGGGCCCCGAGGAGGGTGCAAACTTGAAGGCTGGTAGAGGGGCCTCCTCTCTCCCGCTCTCTATCACTCTCCCTTTCTCTCTCATCATCATCTACAGAGTATTTGGCACAGCGAATCTGAGTGAACGAGAGAGATTTCGGTGAAGGAATCCCTTTGAATGTCCTCGAGCATCAAACGAGGCGGGCGAGTGAGCGGCGTGTGCGACTAAGGATCGACGAGATGACTGACCCGATGATGAAGGATCGATTAGTGATATAATGAAGAGAGATATCATGGCATGACCTCGGAAGATGGATATGACAGAATTTGGTTTTTTGTTTCTCTGTATCTGTTTATAAACTCTCTCTGTTGCCGCCTTCTGTATCTAATCAACCACTCCTCTCTCTCTCGCTCTTGCTCTCTCTCTCGCTCAGATCCGCTGTGACAAAAAGAGAGAGAAGTTGTTGCTTAGGTACAGAAGAGAATGAACGGGCAACAGAGAGAGTTTATGAAGAGATACAGAGAAACAAAAAACCAAATTCCTTCATATCCATCTTCCAAGGTCATGCCATGATATCTCCCCTCATGATATCACCAGTCAATCATTCGTCATCGTCTTGTTGGCCGTCTCAATGCGCTCGTCAGTTTTTGTGTCCCAACGGTCTTGGCTCCAGCAGTCTGGCTTCTTGTGTCCTTTTCCACCGCATCCGTAGCCAGGAATCGTCCTGTTGTTGCGACCATTGCGACCACCCGCGCGACTATTGCCTCGGTTGTAGCTATAGCTACCGTTGCCTTGAGGCCCGGCATCGTGTACCGCTCCATGCGAAGAGAGTGGAGTCGTCCGGGGTACCATTATTCCTTCGCAGAGTAGCTTCGAAGGGTTCAAGTCGTTCCATAAGCTTCTCCGGTGAGGTGCTATATTTAGTATCGATAATTGTTGAGGTGAAATTCGTCCACTCGACAGCATCTGGGAATCCCTCCATCATACACCAAGCGACAACTTGGTCGCCCATCTCGACACCACAGCTCTCAAGCTGGGCAGCTATGCGTTTGGTCTCCGTAAAGTATTTCCTCGCAGAATCGAATTCCGACAGCCTGATCTGGGTCAATCGTTGGAAGAGGTATCGTCCGTCAATTCTTGCGCCGCGCTCACGCTCAGTCTGGAGCACAATCCACAGGCCAGACGGGTCGTAGATCCACTTGTTGTCGCCGTAGTGAACCTTTAAGGATGCATCGAGTGCACCATAGATCATACCGGAGGCTTTCTGCAAACCCTTATCATATTCCACGTACCTGGTAATATAGTCGTCGAACCACTCTATGTACGCTGGGGTATCCAGCTCAGGTTTTTTCGGGTCGTTCCTGGCTTCTTCCGGAACGGTCTTCAGTTCTGGCGTTGTGAGGTAAGGCTTGCAGGAAGGCTGACTCGAGTTGCCGCAGGCGAAATATCACAAGCCATGCTCTAAGCATGCTGAAATATTGAGGGCCCACTTGTTGTAGTTGGAGCCATTAAGGGGCTTAATCTTCTCTGACATCGTTGGTCGTCGATCGATACCAATGAAATTCAAAAAGTAACTGCCGACTCGCTGTCGCGGCTGCCGCAGTATAGCGCCTGGAGGTATTCGAGGGGGTTTTCGCTGAAGGATGACTGCCGTGAACTCTTATTTCAAAGAGTTTTTTGTCACTGCGTATCTGAGAGAGCGAGAGAGATAAAGAAGTATTTGCTAGATAGAGAAGCGAATGAGAATGAGCGGGCAACAGACTTCAGAGAGAGTATATAAAGAAAACCTAAATCCCATCATATCCATTCCCGAGGTTATACCATGATATCTCTCCTCATGATATCCATCCTTCCGTGGTTATTCGTCAACTCAGCCTATTAATGCCCGAGGACAGTAAACAAGATTCCTTCACCGACAGAATAGACTATTAACCTCTACCTCCTCTTTCTCCCCCTCTCTCTCTCATCATCTACCCAATAGACGTTCGACCTAAGAAGCAAACCTGTGGGTGCCAGCTCAAGTCCCCCACCTCCTCATTCAGAAGGTAGTCGACCCCGCCATGCCCACCAACACGATTGATGCCCACTACTAATCCACATACCACATTCGTTTCCTGCCGCCAACAGCTCCACCAACACTCCCCAACAATAGTGTGCAATCCGCGGCGAGGTAGGCCTGATACAATAGGACGGCATACGAGGACAAGTCGTACCGGCGGTAGGACGAGCAGGGGCTGTAGGGGACCCCGCTATCGACAATCAGGACAGTGTGGTATCCCCGCGCAGGGAGGACAGTGATTACATTTTGTGAAGTTACCGCAATTTTTGAATCAAAATTGTGGAACAATTAATGCTATCTGTATTCAATGATACCCGCAAGTATCTATTTGCCGTAATTATAAACGCCTGCGGATTCTTTGCGTGCAGTGTCAGCGGTGACGGAAGGATGCGCTTGTGCACGTGCATGGTGACCATGACTTCCCTTGCAAACTCGGATCACTAGCCGCAGAGCCTTAACCCCACCACCCCACCATGTTTCGCGAATTTACATCTTCTGTGTCACGCATTTGGCACAATGGACGTCTACCGCACGTTGGCCGCAATTCTGGTATCGAATCAGTCTCCGTCCTCGTCGCCGACCTCCTTGATCATTTCGCAACTCTCCTCCCCGTCTACCTCGAGCGAACAGAAAGCCGGGCTTTCGCGCATTCTCGCCGAACTCCTGCGCGCCACTCCCGACGCGGCCGCAAAGAATGTTCTCCAAGATTACGTTCGGTCGCTGATACTGTCGGCGGACTTGAACGATGGTTCCAAAGACTTTGAGCTGGCGATGGAATTGGCCAACGATGACCTGCTTCCAGGATTGCTGGATGTGACGTTGACGACTACAGGCAGGCTGTTGAAGGAACAGAGCAACGCGAACGTGAGCAGCGACGAAGGGTTTGCTGTCGACTTCAGCGGGTTCTTCGAGACCCATCTGTCCGGCTCGCGAAGTGATATCCCATTGGCATTGGAGGAGGTGCAGGACTTGAAGAAGAGTGTGACCCGGCTGCTACGATTCTGGCACTTCGTCTTCCTGAAGAAGGATTGGCTCCGGGCAGCTCATCCGATGGTATCTCCCTCGCTCGTCGGGGAAATGTTGCCAGTGCACCTGCTAGGCCTCATGGCGCTGCGGGATCTGGGTATTGCAATGGCCGCCAGCAATGCTTTGTGCCAGCTCTTGAATGATTTCCCCACGTCTGTGCAGCCTTTCCAGGTAGTTATCTCATATTTTCCGCTGCGATAATAAATAAACGTTTCGTTTAGACTAGAATGGAAGCTGATTCGTGACTTGCTTCCCTTTGTGAATGATTGTAGCTGCTATGGGACGGACTCAGTAGACTTGTGGCTGCCGAAATTCACGTCGATCTGGCTTTGGCCGTGTGGCTGCGCTGGGCTGCGGCCTCCGGCGAAGGTGTACGTCCAAGCCAGGGAATACTGGGAAACGATAGTTACTGGACCCTCATACAGGTTTGCTTCCCTGCTGTCCCGCTTGCGCGGCCGCTGCTCACGGCTATAGAAATGCCTGGCCACCGGTTTCTCCGAGCGCAGGAAATACAGTCTCCACCTTCTAATGAAGTCCATATCATCGACACTAGAGCCTGTGGACACCAGGTATTTATTGCGTCCCGTCATTCCCTAGCTCATACATGCATCTAATACCGGCAGAACTTTCACATTTGACCCCAAGCACCAGAGACCTATCACCGCATCGTGGAACAAGTACACGACGCTTATCGAAATCGTTTCGCTATCCACCTCTCCCAACCAGCTCCGCGACGCAACACCGGATCTAAAGCGTCTACTCGATGGATCCTCGCACATCCCAGCGTCATGGATGGTAGTCCTCGTCACCCTCGGTTTCCAGTCTGGCAGCGGCGGTGTATCCCGCGGCTTCTGGGACATCATGATATCCCTTGAGCCAAAGCGACTAGGTCGATTATTCGGTGGACCCGAGGGCCGGAAACTTCTACAGGACGTATTGTTCCCCTATGCCGCATACGCGGCAAACTTCGTCATCGGCCGTTCAACACCGGAGAAGTGTGAGCACGGCACGCAGCTTGCGGAATGGTTGGGAAGAGTCGTGGACGCTGTGGAATCGAAGCAGGACATTGCCCGGGCTATCCTCGTGTGGATCGATGAGCGAGAAGATAATCTGTTTGCGCCGGCTAGGGCGTGGATTTTGAAAGGGCTTTTGGAAGGAGTGGGTGCGGAAAGAGTCTTTGGGACTGAAGACCTGAGATTGCTGGTTAGGATCGCGAAGATGCAGAGGTTTACGAAGTTGAAGGTCGATGTGTGCCTGGCCGCTGTACTCAGGCTGCTGCTAGCGGTGGATATCGATAAAGTTGGGTTTGCGGAATTTTGGACGTGAGTGACAGTCCATGTCATAGATCCTGGAACCCACTGACATTCGGGTAGTGCTCTGGCGGAGGTTGTGTCCAAGAAGGAATATCTTCTCTCCGAGGACTATCTGTCCACGGTTCAGAAACGGGTTGAAAAGTCTCTACTGGACTCACAGCAACTCGACAATGTCGAACGATTAGCATTCGGACAGGAAGGTTCGCCGTCGAGGATTGAGCTTTTACAAGGAGCATTTACAGTGTATTGTCTGGGCTGCCGGAGCGTGGAGCAACTCGAATCCCCAGACGCCTGGATCCAGCGTTTTCAGTTGAAGATTAAGACGTGAGCCCCGTCGTGGCTTGTCCCCCGGTTCTTTCATCCCGGCTAACTCCCCACAGAGAGCAGCCAAGGCTAAGCTTCTGGACTATCCTCCTGAGCAATCGTCAACTTTTTGGCTGTAATAATGTCCTTCACACTCCCGCTCCGCCTTATACTGAGACAATCACAGGTGTCAACAGGCTTTTCGACATTGGGAGTATCCTTTCTCACATTTTCGAAAACCATCACACTCCATCCGAGAGTGACATGGATATTGCCTCCCTTTTGGAGCAGTGGCCGGTAGAAGCGCAAGAAAGCGCCACTTCGTTGGCAGCAATCTTCTCCTTTCGCTGGCGTTCGCTGCAGGAATCGAAGGGCGACAAGTATGAGCAGAATACAGAGCAAAAGAGGACCCACTGGGCTCTGATATGTGCCAATTCTATCAGACTCATGAGTGGGACTTCTTTTGCGCAGCCAAGTGTGGACGATGTTGTGGATTTGATCGACGCCTTTCCTATCCCTCCCTTAGGCCGGAATAAGCATGATAAGTGAGTCCGTTGTGTTCTGAAGGTCCTGTTTGGCCGGCCGCTAAACTTTTGCAGCGTTGAGATGATAGCAACTGTGGGCAAGTTCATCGGTGCGATGTTCCGCATTCTTGAACACAGTATCAGCACTTCGGAAGAGGTTGGTATTCTCATCTGTGATTCCTAGCCCTACTAACTAAGTCCACAGCTCAATGTATCCACGATTTGCAAAACACTGGGCACATTCCCCCGGTTGCTAAGGTTCCTCGAGAACGAGTCACTCATCCATGCCCTTGATGTCATCCGGACGATTGCCACAAAGTTCCCTCAGCAGCTGCTTGAATCTCAACAAACCAAGGCTGTGGAGCTAGATTCGCTGATATCGCAGCTCTGGGAGACGGCCGATGCCGCCACGCTGCGCTCTGGTTTCACCAGAGTCTATCTTGGCTTCATTCAGACCATATTCCACCCTGTCATTCTCCGGAATGCAGTGGAGAACGTGGATCTGAGGGGAACTTTGACTATCGTATGATGTTCTTATCTAGAAGGGCGCGCGGCTGTCGGGCTAATTATTACAGGTTGCCGCGGACATCATGAGACTTGGCCACGGAAAACGTTCCATCCGTCCAGCAATCGCCAATGTAATCCGCAAGGCATTTATGCACACGCCTGAATCCCCCCGGATCATCGGCCAATCCCCATGGCTAATTGATATCGTCATCGAGCTGGTCAACTACCAGCAAAACGACTGTGACAAAGACTTCACTGTGGAGCATCCCCTCAGTATCCTCTTTGACGATGTTGCGCCAGGAACCGATCACTACACCGAGTACTACGGTGACCGTGAGATTTACTCCCAAGTGTACATGTTTGACATGCTCTCGAGAATGGATGAAACGGATAGGGTTCAGGTTGAATTCGTTAAGGCGCTCAGGGAGAAGTTGTTTTCCCCGTGGACGGAGAACTTCGCGGGCATGTCAATTTGGACTGCTTGGAAGAAGGTGAGTGCCGAATCGTTGGTTTATAGTGGCGGAGGTGCGGATTGCTAACAGTTCTCCAGCATACCCAATTGCAGACGCTGATCCTCCTGGAACGATTCGTGGAGAAAGAGGATGCCGAGGAGTTCCTGGATCGGGCCATCAATAAGGCATTGTGTCATGAACGCCATCCTCGATACAGATTTCTCTTTGAATGGATCATATCGCTGTGCATCCTTAGGTTTCTTGAGCACCGGAACTGCTTATGGAAGTGAGTACCAGTACAGCAAACTTATGATTTACAGCACTGACGGATGCGCGGAATAGACATCTTCAATTTCCTGAAGACCAAAACCCCAAACTCCAGGTGTCTCTCCTACGAGTGGCACTGATGGTGGCACGGGGGCTCCCGGAAGGCATGAAGGAGGAATACTTCACCGAGGTACGTATCCAGTCTTCTTGCGTTAGAGTCATCGCATACTAACGTCCCTCTTAAAGCTGGTGCACACCGCTATCCCACTTACAAGCAACACCAAAGTCGTGGTCCGGCACCAGGCCATCGCCATGACCCTCGAGTTCTGGGAAGATGCAGAGCGCTTCGGATTCACCGAGCTCATATCCAACCCGCTCTTCCAGCGTGTCCACAAGGCAGTCACAAACTCGGCCTACTATAAGGAGTTTCAAAACGCCAAGGACTACCGTACCTTCGACGGTGTAGAAAACCTCACGCTCGCAGGTATCTTCTCCGGCAGCTATCTTAAGGGCGGTGACGAAGTCGAAGTTATCCCCGCCGATTCCTTCCTTGGGCTCGACGGCGAAGAATTTAAAGATTCAAGCAGAACCCGTCATACTCCCGTAGGCGTCGAAGCACAAGACAACACCCCACCGCCAACCGGTGGACGCCCACAGCACTCCGGAAAAGTAAAATACCACCCCCAAGACTCCGAAGTCCTCGTTGCTGCCTCCACCGCCCCGATCCAAACCAAAGCCTCAGACCCCTCGTCCACCGCACTCACTGCCGTCGGCACCGAGGACAGGGACCTAATACTCGTTGCCTCCCTACTGGACAACAACTTCAATCTCGGCGGAGTCTCGCGCGTCTCCGAGATCATGGGCGTGCACACACTAACCTTCAATTCCCTGTCATCGACCAAGACGTCGGAATTCACCAGCGTCTCAGTGCACTCCGAGAGCTGGCTCGACCTCGTCGAAGTCCCCATTCCCGAGATCGCCGCTTACCTCCGAGAGAAGCGCGCGGCAGGGTACACCGCCGTGGGTGTAGAACAGACGGACCGCAGTGTCATCCTGGGGAAGGATGAGTGTAGGTTTCCGAAGAAAACGGTGTTGCTGCTGGGGACGGAGAAGTTCGGTATTCCAGCGGAGCTGTTGGGTGAGCTGGATTGGTGCGTGGAGATCCCGCAGAAGGGAAGGACCAGGAGCATGAACGTCCAGACAGCCGCGGCTGTGGTGCTGTATGAGGCCTGTCGACAGGAGGGGGCGGAGAAGTGAAGTGATTGCAAGGGAAAAGTTTTGTTTTGGGAAGGATATAAAAGGATCACGTACTAGAGGATACATTTGTTTTTTTCTACTTCACTATGGCTATGCTGCCATTCTCGCTTGTGTTTGCAAAGTCCAAACCCTACCATTACCCATTCATCTTGACATGTTTTAGCCAAGCCACGAGTGATATCTAACGTGCATGCTATCCCACCAACACCTTCATCACTCTTCAGCCACAAATTCCCTGTATCTATGTACATGTAACTAAGCGTAACCCCGCTGTGCAGTGCCCCCTGTCCATCTCCAATTCACATTCCTGTTCGTCGTCTTGGCTACGTAGATAAACCCTAATGATGGCGCTAATCAAGCGGCACCCCACCTTCGACCTTGCATCGAGCTTGCCAACTCCTCAAGGCTCAAGTAGGTACTCTACATACCTGCCATCATCATCGTCACCACCATAACCTCCCTTCCCCCAACGCATCACGAAAAATGTCGCGAGAGGAAATAACGCTCAGCAAGGCCATCGCGTCTATCCGCTCTGCAGCCGACGAACTGTCGGTATGTCTGTCCCCCAGCCAAACGCAAGCAAGGAACCTTCCTGACTGTCGTGGGGAAGCTATAGGTAGATGAGTTCATCGATTTCTCCGTGATACTGGACGTGCACATCCACTGGTCTTTGGAATCACTGTCCCCCGAGGACCAGCACCAGTTCCTGAGCGTGTTGAAGGAGGTGTTGGAAGCACATGTACTACCCCCTACTCTCCTCCTCCTCCACCCCCTTGGTTGGTGTTAATGCATTGTAGGAGGAGTTGTCTTGCTCCATCGCCTGGGACCTCGTCATCGTACTTCTACCATACCTCGACTCCCCGCTCCCGAAGACCGTTGATATCGCCGAACAGCTTATCGCCTACTCTGCGACGATCGGGAATCCTAGGGAGGTGTACATCAAGGTGTTGACTGGGCTGTCGAGTCTGTCATGGAGTCCCGCTGAGGAGGAGGATGACGAGGATGAGGATCAGGATGAGGCGGAGCACTCCGGCGACGAGGAGGATGATATCGTGCCAAAACGTGAACTACAGAAGAAAGAAGATCCGATGTTGTATGCGCAGAACGCGGCGAGGAAGTTCAACAACCTGCTGTCGGCGTTGACGACGGTGCACCCGCGGATTGCGGCAAGATTTCCGTCAAAGTTCCTTTCGACGGAACTGTCGACGCTGCTGATCGCGTTTACGAAGGCGGTGGAGGTGGTGGATGCTGAGGCGGTGACGGGAGTTGTTCAGCGGCTACTGCAGTTCTTGAAGGGGGTGCGGCCGCAGCTGAAGGAGACGGCTACTGCAACGAAACGTCCGCCGCTACCGCCGAGGGTTAGCACCAGTGCGAGCCTGCAGACTGTCAACCCGGAGGCGAAGGAGGACCAGCTGCAGGCGAGACTCATCGCAAGCTTTTTGACGCATGTGTTGAGCGGCTACCTGCTGCGCACGAAGAGGCAGCACCATCCGCAACAGCAGTCTACGAGCGAGGATCATCATTCTCCCGATGTGCAACAGCTACACCCTGCCTTCCGCGGCGGCTTCGACGATGTGGAGGAGAGGGGGCTGGACATTGGATGGGCTGGGAAGTACGACGAAGAAGTGCTGCGCCCGGATAAGTTCAAGGTCCCGAACGGCCGCACGCTCATCGACGAGGAGCGGGATGCACGCGCAGCGCAGGGAAATGTCAGAGCAGCTGTCGACGAGATTGTGGCGATGTGCGAGAGCCTCGGTGTCAAAACCGAAGAGCTCGTGGACCTGTGCAGATCCGGCGCCGACGGCCTCACCGACGACGAGGAAGACGACCACAGCGAAATCCCCGCGCCGAAAGCCGCCGATGACGTCCCACTCTCCAAACACGGCGCGCTGTTCCTTCTCACGCACCGACTCTCGACCGATCCGCACACCACCCACCTCCAAATCTACCCCGACCACTCCACCATCGCCGAAACCTTCATGATCTACGCCCCGGGCCAGTCGAAACCCGCCGTAATAGACAGCATCCTCTTCCTGGGCCTCTACATCCTTCACACCTCGCAATCCCTCGGCGACCTCCCGGAAAAGACAGAAACATTCTTCATCTACCTCCAAATCTTCAGCGTAATCAGCACCAACGCCTCCTCCGCCTCGCACCGGTACCTAGCCAACACGCACGTCGCGCTGTGCCTGCGCGCGCACCCCTCCGAAGCCGTGCGCCTAGCCTACTTCCGCGACACGCTCGAGCACTGCCCCTTCGAATCCGTCAAGGGCGCCGTAGTGGGCATGCTTAAGGACGAGATCGTGCACGCGACCACGCCCGTGCTGCGCGACGGCGCATCCGTGCCCAGCACTCCAAACAGCATCTTTGGCACCTCGCTGTGTCTCTCCGAGATCTTCGCGCAGCTCTTCCCCGACCTCGAAATCGCCCTCGGCGACGACGACGCAAAGGCCTGGGAGAAGTTTAGAGATCTGTACCCGCGCTTCGCGGCAACGATCAATCTCTACTTGCTCCTGCTGCTGAACCACGAGCTCGCCGCAAGACTCGGTGCTGCCAATAAGGCCTTTGGAGATAAGGTCGAGACCCGGTTTTTGGCGCCCGTGAGGAAGCGGCTAGACAGGTTCATCGAGAGGGAGAGGACGGAGGGGGATAGGCACGGGGTCAACGTGCAGCTGGTGGAGATGACGATGCAACGGGTTCAGGAGGCGAGGGGAGGAATCGTCGATTAAGTACCTAGACCTAGGTAGCCGGAGGAGATGAAATACCAGTCATACCATCTACATCGTATGTCTTTCAAGCGTTACTTGGGGTCTTCACGATACTATTACTGATGATCAGAACACTCTCTCTTTGATAACTCACTGTTGACTCTCCTCGAGTCAATCCTTTCCTCTTCTTCCTCTTCTTCTCCCACCGCCTGGGAACACGCCATGACACTGCACATAGACCCAACCCAACCGAACCTATCCATCCAATCCAATCCAATCCTATCCTAAGCCCGACGATATGAGTGGGCGGGGTGGAGGGGCAAAAGAACATGAGACGGAAAAACAAAGCACACAGAATCAGATCCCAACCGCTCATACTCCATTTCGTTCCAGAAGACAGAAGACAGAAAAGACAAGCGTAAAGAAGGAACAGAACACAGGACAGGACAGAACAGGACAAGCAACCCCCGTCAACAAGTCATAAAAGTAGCAAAACTGGATAGGACATAGGAGGTAAGTAAGGGAAAACGAGACGAAAAAATCATGAGACTGAAAACACGAACGAGTAAACGGGAAAGAAGGAAAGAGAGAAAAAAAAGAAAAAAGAAAACAAGTTACATCACAACGTAAATCTCATATCGTAGCATGGTCACAGTCCCCTTACGAAAGAGGCACACCGCCGCCACCACCATCGTTCCTCTCACTCGCGACACCCTCCAGGTATGCCAACAGATTGGCTTTCGCCAATCCCGTGGGCGTTCTGGCAAGACCCGGACGCGCAGACGAAGCGCCAACACCAGCTGTGCTCAGTCTCGGCGGTGGTCGTTGCACAGGCTTGCGCTGTTCCATCTCAGGGCTCGACATGACGGCCTCATCCATGGGCATAGACATGGGCGACGCGGGGGCTTGGGGCTTTCTGAACATCGCCAGAAGCGTCTGCGCACGCTCGCCACTGACCGATTCGCGGCGGTCGAAGTTGGTGGTTGGGAGAGCGGTCGTCTTTTGGGCTCCATAGTGATCGATTGCGACGGGCGTTCCGTGGCGCAAAGGAGGTGGCGGGGTATGATGACGCGGTTGGGTGGTCGTCGGACGAGGAGGAGGTTGGTAGGCCTGCGACACCGGGGCAGCAGTGGAAGACCGGTTGTTGGCAAGATTGTTTCTATGCCGCTGCGGCTGCTGGCGCTGGGGAGAATTGCGCTGCGAGGTCTGAACCTTGGGTCCGCGTGGTGGCGGTGACCGAAGTGGTGCCGGATTGGAGCCTGAGACTGCTTGACGGGATGGCGGGGGCGGGGTCATAGGGTTCTTGGGAGGTCCCGATGGTTGCGGCATCTGCTTGGGCACTTGCATCTGAGATTTCTGAGGCAGTTGCGGGTGCGCTATTTTCTGTGAAGGAAGAGCTGCTTGCTGCGGCGGAGGCTCCGACGGCATTGTCGCAGTAGCATTCGGTTCGGGTTGCCAGTGCGCCACCGGCGGAGTCTGCACTGGAGTCCTAGTACCCTTCAAAATAGATAGCAAAGCTCCCGCCTGCCCAGAATCCTGATGTCGAATCTGCTGCTGTGGCGGCGGATGGAAAGAATCCACCGGCGTCGGAGGGTCGCGCTGTCCGAAATGCTGAAGCATCGCGTTCCCGGCCATCATGTTTCCATGCTGCGCCATCATATTTCCCTGCTGGGGCATCTGAACCCCCGGCTGCGCCATGCTCATCGGCGGATTCGCGAAAAACTGGTTCATCGGGAGCGGGGCGCCTCGTTGCTGTTGCTGCTGTTGCGGCTGCGGGTACGGCGGCGGGCCAAACCGTGATGTCGGTGGCGGAGAAGGCAAAGGAAATGTGTTCATGCGCTGTTGCTGTCCCTGCTGCCATCCACCGGGCGAAGGCATCGAAGCCTGTGAATTCTGAAGCATCGGGCCAAAGGAGGGGCGTGTTTGCAGCGGGTGTGGAGGTGGGTGCTGCATTGGGGTCGATGAGTTGGGGCGTTGGTTCTGGTTACCGGTCGGTGGGAAGCCCATGAAGTTTGGATGAGCAGAGACACGATGGGATGGAGGGGAATGATGGGATGATGTGGTTGGGCCGGAGGGCTGTAAAATTGAAAGAAGCATCTTCGCATTCGGATTCTCCGAAAGGGGATCGCCCCTGTTGGATCCGTTGGTCACCGTAGGAGCGGCATGTTGCGGTTGCGAAATCCCACCGATCATCTCCCTGAGTCTTCTGGAAGCATCGTCTTGCTCGGCTGCGGTCATGGCTGGTGCTTCTGGCTGCACGGGAATGCCCAGCAAGTTCTTCAAGCTTGTCGTTGAGTCTTCTGGTTGCGTGATTGGTGGTGCGGGCTCCGGGGGTGAAAGGGGAGGTTCCTCTGCCTTCAATGTAGCTTCTCCAAGCTCAAGCTTCTGAGCTGCTGTCGCTAGTTGTCTCTGTATCGATGCTGCAGCTCCTTGCTGTTGCTCTAGCCACTGCTTCCCGTTTGTCGAAATCCACTTACGCAGCTCGCGAATGAATGGTGCGACCAAAAAGAATTTTCCCGAGCGAATGTTCTCTTCTCGCTGTCCCTTCTTCGCCGAGTAACCCGGAAGTTCCGACAACTTGTGCCAGGCAATTTTCTACGCGAGTGTGACGTCAGAATCGCAACAACAAAAAAACCTACACACAGAAGCCACCTCAACCACATACGCTAATCTCTTTCCTCGTCCTCGGCGCAAACCTAAAATCCTCCGGCACGCCCGGCGCGATGTACAGCCTCATGTCCTGCTCCCGGATGTTGATATCGATCTTATCCTCCGCGCCGACCATCCCGGTAAGATCGAAGCCGGTCTCCTCATACGTCTCCCTGATGGCGCAATCCCTATCGTCCTCATTCTGATCGATCTTTCCTCTCGGAAAGCTCCAGCTCGCGCCGCTCTTCCACCCCTTGACGAGCACCGCCTTGTCCATGTTGACGTTCAGCATGATGACGCCACGCACGGGCACGCGCGTTTTATACGACATGAACTCGGTGAAGGCGGTCTCGGTCTTCCACAGCGGGATGTGCGATATTAGGGAGCGCGGCACGTGGTTGAGCAGCTGGTGGATGAACTGCCGCAGATGGAGATTCGGCACACCCGGGTTGATCTCGCGGATGAAGTCCTCGTAGAACCAATGGGCCTCTTCGATCTGGAAGCATATTCGCTGGACGCCGTCAGCCTTGCGAGGATGGCGGGGTAGCTGCCAACTGCCTTACCTCAATCGAACTCAACTCCTCTTCCGGAAGGAATATCAGGAATCTGCAGCCTCGAAATCAGTGCCCTTTTCCCTACGCGCACGCACGCACGCAACTTGCTTTCCTAGCTAGCCGGAGAGAGTGCTACCTAATACACAGATCATCGAGGATTTCGGAGAGAGTAGACGTGCTGAGCACCTGCGCACGGACACACACATCAGCATCAACACCACTGCCGTTCCAGCCTGCCAGCCAGCTGGCCAGCAGAGCTCCGCCGCGCGGGAAACACACATGAGTAGCGGCTGTAGAACCCATCTAGCCATTCACGACGCCAAGCGCGAGCGAAACGATAGATGAAATGGGTAGAGGTGCTGGGCCGAGCTTGGTCGAGGCGAATCAAGGGTAACAGGAGTGTCGTAGTGGAGTACGGCGAGCGAGGCTGGCTGTCGCTTGCTGTAATTTTGGGTGAACTTGCTGATGCGGGGGAAATACGAGGCGATGGTTGGCCGGTCGGTCTATTCTGGTTGGCCGGCTGTGTTCTTTGTTGTGAAAGATCAATGCAACGTCCAACCTGAGGGTCCCTCCATGGCTGTGGCGTCACGCTAACTGAACCTCCATGGTGTTTACCCGGACCATCAGAGCCGCATCACGTGCTGCTGCTTGATGCACCCAGGTCCCAGATCATTGCTGGGCGGGAAGGGAAGATGCAATTCGGTAGGGCAAATCAGTTTAGCTCTAAGCACTCTGTGAAGCATCTGCTGCGGGAGTCACTGATGGTAGTCTTTTTCACCGCGAAAGCAACTTGACTAAGTACCGGCAGTTAGGTTTCTTCAATCCGGGGATCACCAACCATTTCCGCAGCCTCCAGACGAACCAATTCGATCGACGTCATAAGATAAGAGTAATATACAGTCAGTCCATGCAAAGTAGATAAATGAAAACCCCCACTTTTCCGGTCCGTATCATACAATCGTCTCCACCACCTTCCTCGTCCGCCTACGTCGACTTCGTCAACTCGTCCACCGCCTCCCTCTCCTTCTTCTCCCTGATCTCCTTCTCATACTTCAGCACCCTCTCCTTCAGCGGCAGCTCCTCGTCGGCCTCCTCCTCGGGGGTGATTTTGCGGCTGCCCCTCTGCTGCCAGACATCCCAGACGCTCTCCTTGATGATCTCTCCGATGCCGAGGCCCTCCTCCTCGCGCTCCTTGAAGAACTTGGCGGTAGCATGCACATCCTCGCCGCGCCAGCCAGTAGTCAACTCCTTCTCCTTTCGCTGCTGCTCCTCGAGCTCGCCCTCGCGCTTTCCCACGATCACGCGCAGGATCCCCGCGCCGTTGAAGTGGTGCTTCGTCACCTCGTTGAGACAGAACACCCAGGTGAAGGCGAGCCCGGCGGTGTAGATGTCGAGCTTGCGCGGCGGCAGCGCGATCAGCGCCGGCGCAACAATCAGCATCCCCATCGCGACGTTGTGCCGCAGCGCGAGGTAGTCGTTCTGTCGCTCCAGGAGCTCCGTCATGTCCAGTGGACGGCCGGGGCCCGAGGGGGAGGCGGTCGAGGAGGTTTCCGGAGTCGCCATCTGTCCGTGTATGTGTGTAGATCGTGATTGCTGGGCGGGAATGGGGGGAATGCTGCGTTTTGAGGGTGGGGTTGCGCGGATTGACGGAGTGGTGGGGTGGTGGGGTGACAGTGCTGGTGATGTAACTTGGGAGGCTAAAATGCAACCAGAAGCGAGCCCGCCACGGAGCTAACAGGCGAAACGTAGTTCCTTCCCACCCGGCTATCCCGACTCGAGCTCACTAGAGTGGAGTATCCTCCATTCACCAGCAAGGCCAATAATTCGAGAGAGGAAAGCAACTTGGAGCTGGCAGCACACAATTACTACTCACGAAATCAAATCAAACAACAGAAGAAGACATGCACAGAGTTTCACTACACGCCTAGGTAGGCAGTCGCCGATACCAATGTGAAGATTCACATCCATCACGAAAACCGAGCAAACGATGAGATCAGGCGACAGCGAGCACAAACACGATCAAGCCACCCGAAAAGACCGTCCTCGAGAGCGCAATTAACCAAAAACCACCGTATGTATGCATATATACCACCATAGCTACCCCAAAACCGTATCCAACCACCCATCCCTAACCTCCTTCTCCTCCTCCTTCCTGGCCCTATTTGACAGCGGCAGCGGCAACCCGACCAACCCACCCGCACCAGCGGCACCCGCGCCCGCTGCACCCAGCGCCTCATCCCTCCCCTGCATAGCCTGCAAAAACACCGCCGCAGCGAGCTGCTGATACCTCGTAGCGAGGCGATCGACCTCCTGTGCAGCCTCGGTCGCAAAGCGGGCGATGACATGTTCGATATTTGTATCGAAGCGGCTGCGGCGCGCAGAGTCGTGGATTGTGGCGGAAGTGTTGACCGCGTCGACCGCCAGGCGCTCCACCAGCTGGTCGCGGCCCCGCGCTATGTGCAGCCGCTCTGTGCGGCCTGCGGCTAGGACTTCGCGGCTCAGTGCGTTGGCCGCGAGGCGCCGCGGGGTCGGTGGGGGTGTGTATATGGTTGACGGGTGCCAGGACGCGGGGGAGTGCGGCTTACTGATGCGGGTGCTGGAAGCTGGGGGGGAGTGCTTGCCGCCGGGACCACGCGCGTATCCGCTGGTGCTGGAGATGCTGCTGGCCTTGTCGGCCGAAACGTCGATTACGACGCTGAAGTTGACTGTGGATTCCTCTGCGCCATGGCCGGCGGCGTCTTCCTGCTTGATTTCCCGCGCTGGGCTCGGGTCCGAGCCCGCGCCGGCGTCTTTCGGATGGTGGTAGTTCTGCACCGTCGTCGTGATGAAGGGATACGACGGTTTTGGAGTTCGCGGATGGTTCGGTGGGGCGGGAAGGAGGAACGACGGTCTCTTTTGCGGCCGCATGGAAGTGACCGTTGCGCTGGAGACGGATTTGCGGCCCTTCCCGATGGTCTTTTTGGTGCTGGAAGCGGAAGACTTCTTTGCTGCTGCTGCTGCCGCTGCTGCTGCGGCGGTGCTTGGTTGTTTGAGCTTCGCCATAGGTATTATGGACAGTTTTTCAGAACAGTGGTCTTCTGTCTGCATATTCCGTTCAGCTATGCATACCTCCTATACATCGCGGGTGGGAGCCCCCCACACACAACCGACAAACGTACCTGAAGGCTTAAGGCTGAAGCGTCTCCTCTCCGTTCGATTTCGAAGCAAGAATCCCAAGATCACGGCTAGGTAGCTAGTGCACGGTGGTTGGTATTAAATACCGTCGGCCACCGTCCATCCACGGTCCATCCACGGTCCCAAAGAAGGAATCCATCCTCGCCACTGTGTCTCTCCACGATCCGAACAGAAACTAGGTAGAGCTGAATCACCCAACCCAACCCATCACCCAACCCAACCCAACCCATCACCACCACCACCAGCACAAAAGTGCAATTCCAAAAAAGCAAGCAACCGCCAGTGTCCAGAAACGTGTGGGGCACTCGATGGATGGGTGGATGGATGCGACGGCCGTTGCTGCTTGGACTCTTGGAGCGCAAACCCAAACCCAAACCCCCATTCCGATCGACGGCGGCTGCCATTGGATGCTCGCCTATGATAGGCAAGGGATTGGGGCGCCCCCTCCCCCTCCCCCTATGCATCGTAATCGCTAACCAACCAGCCGTCCTCTACTCTACCTACATACGAGTGGCGAGCCGGAGTACTCTAACTAGACGCCACCTCACGCCTGACGCTTGGTCGAGTGCGTGTGTGGTGTGGTGTAACATGGCGCTTACTACCTACCTCCTACCTACCTAGCCCCTGCTTCTCGGCCCCCCTTCCGGTGAACCCATTGGCCTCCTGTAGCCTGTAGGCTGTGATTACTCTACAGTACAGTACCGTATCTACCGTATGCATCGAAATATTGGACTGGTGGTTATACACTCCTATGCAATACCTAGACCGTCGATGAGCCACTATATGTATGTAGGTAGATGGAGCATTCGCGCAGTCGGGTTCGGAATCTGAGTTTGTGCGTATGTGTGTGTGTAGGTGTGTAGAGGCCTTGTGAATGGCGGACGGTGGATAGTAGATGCATCATGTATGCAGTTGGGAGTTTGGAGGATGGGGGCCATATTACTACACGGAGGAATCAGGGAACGAGGGAGGATATTTGCACGTTGGATCATGGATGAGTGATCGGGAGGATCGGCGGGGAGTGAGAGTGAGAGTGGGAGCGGAGAAAGGATGCGCATTTGGTGGTTCCCCGCCCCCACGGGGAAAGGGCAGAGTATAGTCGAGTAGAGTAGGTACGCGAGGGAGGCCGCCGCCGCCGAGAGGACTCAGGAGCTGCAGAGCTCCACCTGTTCATCCCCTCTCTGAGCTCTCTCGAACACGGGTGACTTTACTACCTATACTCACTCACTCACCCTCCCTCCCTCCCTCCCTCTCTCCCTCTCTCTACTCCGCCTCCACCCACCACAACCAGCACCACCACCACCACCCACCACCAGCACCAGCATCGGCACCCCAGCCCGAGACGAGACAAAAGACAAGACAAGACACAAAGTGCAAAAGTGTAAAAAGCGGCACGAACTCTGGCATGGTGTAAGGATGGAATAGATACGATTCGGCTGCTCATCCAACCGAGTGAATCGCACGAGATGTATGGTGTGGTAAGTATGGGGCTGCTAAATGAGCCGGATGGAGGTGTGGGCGCAACTACCACCTAAAACTACAACTACAACTAGAGTACCTACTCTAGTAGGTGGGTAGGTTCTCCGATCTCCGTCACGAGTGACGGAGTGGGTGGAGGGTGGAGGGGGCTGTGTTGGGATGTGGCACGGTATTTCTTCCTTCCTTGCGCCTATGGCCGGTATGGCTGGACTCGGGACTCGGTTGTCCCCTGAGGCTTGAGCTTCAGAAGTGACGCGGCAAGAGCAGGAGGCAAGAGGCGAGAGATATCCGCGAGCACGTGCCTTGAGGAGCTGCGGAAGGGGAGGTGTGTGGGGGCGGAAGGGTGGGGGCGGATACGAGCCATTCATCTGACCGCCCCGAATCTACAGCCCTCAGCTCCCCTCCTAAGCATCTCCGCAAGCACCTCCTCTCCGCTCCGCAAGCACCTCTGCAAGCACCTCCACTCTACCCTTCATACCGTATGTACCGCATCGTATCATAGCCCTCCCCTGCTGCTGCTGCTGCTGCGAGTGTCCCCATTGCCCAACGGTGGCGATTTCACATCCATCCATCCAATCCAATTCACCACATCCCTCCATCGTCCCCCCTCGAAGAAAGCGGTCCTAGGAAGCAGTCTTACATACATACACAAGTAGATGCATACAAGCATCCACAAGCAGGCAGAAAGAACCCTCTGCGCTGCACTGCACTGCACGGACCCCACTCTACTCTACCTACTCTGCTTCAATCCACTACTATACGCTTCACGCCGCTTCACTTCACTTCACTTCACATCTATATTGGAGGTACAAAGATGTACATGTTGAGTACAGGAATCTGATGGAGTAATTAGTCCTCCATGGGCATTGGGAACGTGACTACAGACCGCCAGACGCTCTATGCAGGGCCGATGATGGAGAGGGAAAGCATGAGGGTTCGTCTGCGTGTAGGTGCTCTACTCTTCTGAACATGGGACAGCTACCTATTGGGCGTATCTCCAAAACGTTGAGTGGCTATCGTGGGCCGTGGGCCCGTGGTCTATCAAACAGCTTGGGACAGCCTACCTATGTACAATAGGTGCACCACTGCTCGTAACTACCAGCAACGTGCAACAATACATCCCTTTCACAGCCCAATTACAGCCATCCTTTCACAGCCCATCCCTTTCACAGCCCATCCTAGCCATCCCAGTCACAAAATATCACCACCACCACCACCACCACCACCACCACCATATCACCACATCACCGCCGCCGCACGCAAGCATTGCACTCAGCACTCAGCACTCAGCACAGACACAGATGGACGAAGATCTTCGATTCACCCCTAATTCACCCCCACCCCGTCTCCCTCTCCCTCTCCCCAAATCCTCGCCCCCAATTCCTCTTCATAGCCCCCAATTCCCTCGCCCTCAATCCCTCGCCCTCATATGTGGCCAACAGATCAACATCCAACTCTTCCATTTGCCCTTCCCTTCGCCTTCCATTCCCTCCGCTTCGCCTCCGCGCCACCATAACCACCACCACAATCCCCCGTCCCCCGTCCCCGTCCTCATCCCCCATCACATCAAGTAAAAAACTAAAAATCGTCACACACGAAAAGAGCAAGTATAAAGTAAACCCCCAGATATGACAATGACGCGAAAGAAGAAATGAATAAAAGAAAAATAATGGGGGGAAAGAAATAAAATGGCTGCAAAATAAGTAACTGAAATGTACTGAAATGTACTGAAATGTACTGAAATGTACTGAAATGAAATGAATGGAAAGAAATGAAAGAAAGAAAAAGAACACCCGTCATAATATCGTCGGCTTATATATAAATTGTATGGTGGAAGAAAGAAAAGAAAAGAGAAACAAACCAACATTGCGAATAAGAAAGAATCCGAAGGAAAAAAAACAGGCCCCAAAATCTGCCAAAAAAGAACCAAAAAAAAGGATCCAGACAGCCCATTGGATCGGATCGGATCGAATCGAATCGGAGAAAGAGAAGAGAAGAGAGAACAGAAACATAGTAGTAGATACATTTTCCCCTAGCAAAGTCTCACTCACACTCACACTCACTCACAGGAACCCGGATTCCGTAAGCAACCTGCAGACGACGGGCCGTCAGAGAGGCATTCTCATGTAGGTAGGTAGGTAGGTAGGTAGGTAGGTAGGTAGTAGGAGGAGGAGGAGGAGGCATCGCGGCGGTCTACCTTGCAATCTTCTCATCTTCCCTCTCTCTCGGTTCGAGAGACAGTGACACCGTGTACATCTCGTTGACGTCGCGTGCTTGCTGCATGCTCGATATGATGTAGTCTTGCAGCTCCGGAACTGTCGTCAGCGGGTACGGCACCGCTTGGTATTGCTGGATCTCAGAGATGATGTTCGCCGCCTTGACACGCTTGCCAAAGTTGATGAGCTCGGTCCCCTTGATGAAGTCCTCGTTGCCGTCCGCAACGAAGGTAAGATCCTTCAGGTAAACACCTTTGACGGAATTAGTAAATTTGCCACCATGCATCAGGAAACGGGAGATATACCAAGGAAAGGAACACAGGGCGGGTTGACTATGTGCAGCATCTCACGATACTCGGCAAAGTTCATGGTGGCACCCATGAGCCTGTTGAGTCCTTCCAGGGTGATCTGCGACTTCGCCGGCACATGCTCCCATGTACGTTTCAGGCGATGAATCGACGCGGTCTGCAACGCCGCCAAAATGGCAGTGAGTGTCGAAAAGTTGTTCAGTAGACGACATTTCTATGCATCACCACCCCCGCAATTAGCAACTGCAACCCTATACTCTCGAGTGATCACGGGTGTCGGTTTACCTCCGCCACACCAATGAAATGCTTGATGACGACAACGCGCTTTCTCGCTTCCGTCTGGGTGAGGATCATCTCCGCCACCCAATTGGTCAGTTGGTTCGACTGCATGATGATGGATCTGATGTTCTCTGCAGGGTCCTTTGCACCCGGCTGTGGTGACTTGCTCCATCCCTTGCTCAGACATTCCACAACCCTCAGCTTGCTGTATGATCTCGCCTCGATGATCGTCAGCTGGCGCGCAAACTCGAGCTGATCGACGTCCAGAAACTTGAGTCTCTTCATGTTTCGGGGGAGGATCGGCAGAGGCGGTTGCGAGGACATGGTCAGAATCATGCGCTTGTTCTCCGGCTCTTGGCCGCGCAGGCGTGTCTCGATGAGCAACAAGACCTGGCTGGTACCGGGCAGAACGGGCAGCATGACATCCTTGGCGAAGGTGTGCATTGACTTGAGCACCTGCTTAGACTCGTTGTCGACAGCCTCCATCCAATTCGACTCCAGCCACACCTTCAAGATACTGAGCACTCTCATCCGAACCAATCTCTGCTTCTTCTCAACCCAGAAATCGTAATCGTCTCCCTGGATGCCAGCCGGCGGCTGCATAGTGAACCGCTTAGCCAGCTCGGTGAACAATTCCGACGAATTGGTGAACGAAGGGTACGTGAGGAGGAATGTCGTGTTGAAGCCCGAATCCAGCGTGTCGTGACGGGTCAAACACTCGACCAGAGCCGAGAGTGTTCCACCCTTGACATGGCCCTTGGCTCCGTAGATGATCTCGTTGTCGTGATCGCGCTGCAGGTACTTCTGCCCTTCCCGAGTCGCCTGAGGTTCCGGCCGTACGGGCTGTTCACCGAGCAACCTCGAAACCTTGGACTGGCCGTTTTGACCCACGACCGAGGCTCGCGGCGCAGAGAGTTGTCGCGATCCCACCCGCGTGTGTCGAGATCGGGGGGACAGGTCGCTTGGCTGGTTCCAGCGCAAGTCGTCGGTCGTTTTAGCACTCTGGGTTTCCAGCTCGCCAACCAGCAGCTGCGTGGTGAAGTTCAGCGATCGTATTCCACCCTCGAAATCCCTGATGCATTGTCGGATGCCATTCAGCCTTTCCTCCAATGTCTCCCCTCGTCTGACCGTCCACTCGTCTGCCAGAGGCGCCGTCACGTTCATGCAAGCCGCAGCGAGTTCTCCGTACGAGTCCCGCAGTCGCTGCTTCTGAATCTCGAAATCCACAAGGGTGGGACTCGACGCGGCCTGCGGCAACATGTTGACGCCGTTGAGCAAGATGAAGTACTTCCGCATCGCTTCGAATACCTTCTGCGCCGCCAGAACAACCTTCGTGCCGATTTCCTGCTGTTGCGCGGTCGTAACCACGTCCATCTTGCAGGACAGCGAAGCCTCAAGCTTCACCACGGCAGGCCTGATGATACCATCCAGTTTCTCCATCGCCTCCACGAGCGCGGAATCGAGATGACCGGGCTTGTTTCCGACCGGGGACTGCTCGACCGGGGTGTGCGGCGACTTGGGGCTGCCGGGGGTTTCGGGTGAGGTGAGCGCTCTCGCTGCCGGCTTCCACCCCTCCGCCAGAGTACTTCCCTTGATGAATCCCGGCTTGATCCGCGGCAGTTTTCCCTCGGTGATCTCCTTCGCGACATCGACATAGCCAAAGAGTCCGACCAAAACCTCGTCGGCCTCCGTCAGGCATTTGGTCTCGGTATCGGAAGGACCGCAGTCCGTAGATGCGACGGAAGATGACAGGATGAGTTTGGAGAATGCGGCCATGAAGTGTCGGAAGTGCGGCATCAACTCCTTCTTCCGCGCAATCACCGAAGGCTGCACCGAGTGTGTGTCCGTAGTTCCCGATCCACTCGCGATCACGAGGCACAGCCAATCGGCGATCTCTTCGGCCCGCTTCGAGTATTTCGCATGCTGATAGGTGCCCGCAACACGTCGGAACCGTTCCACGGAGACGCTGGTCTTGTCGATGAGTTCGTCCCAGGTTTCCGGCATCGGCGGGCCGACGTCCTTGTAGAACTCGTACGCTGCGCCGCGCAATTGCGGTGTACCCAGGTAGATGTCGACCTTCTTCTTCGCGACGGCGGAGAGCGAGTTCGCATGCAGAAGGTCTGCATTGACCGCGCCATCCATACCACCCATCGGAGTCGCAGCGTCCGATACTCGTTCTGTCGAAATGGTTCCCCTGCGTTCGCGCTCCTCACCCTGGTGATCGATGCACGTTAGCGACGACATTCCACTCTTCCCCCTCCCCCTCCTCCTTCTCCCTTGCCGCGCAGAAGAACTAACCGTTGGGGTGTTCAGAACGACCATGCGGCCACCCTTATCCGACGCCGATTCATCGTCGCTTCGCAGATCATCCCTTTCGTAGCCTCTCGCCAGCAGTTCCGGCGGTGGTCTGGTCTGATCGGGAATGACGCGAGTGGTGTCCCTCGGCCCGGTCTCTGTCGTCGAGGTCGGCGCCTCGAGTGGCAGCTCCTGCCGCGTTTCCGCGGTTTCGAGATTGAAGTAATACAACCTACCGTGCGGAGTCGCCTGTGGCACCCAGAGGCCTGACACATCCTTGCCGATGTTCGTACCTTCCATGGGCAGACCGGGAGAGGCCAGCCCCCGTTCCGAGTCGCTGGACTGACTGCCATCATCGTACTCGTCGTATGAATCATCCTCGTCGCCGTCGTCGCTATCATCCGATAGCATGCCCCCGTTCGTCTCACCCGGCGGGACCAGGATGCAATAATTGCTCGGGAACCAACCCCTCTGGCCGTTCACGATCCCGTCCCACCATCCGCTGTCCAGCTGCTTGAGTACCTGGATCACATCGCCGGCTCGAAAACTCAAGCTCGTCGTGTCCTCGGTCGAGTAGTCGTAGAGGGCGCGCACAAACATCCTTGATCGTTCGCGTTCGACCCTGGTCATAATCATGTTCCGCTGGCGAAGAAGTTGCGCTGCTGTAGCAGACGAACCCGAGCGGTCGCGCGCGTTGGAACTGGTGCTGCTGCTGTCGCTTTCGCTGTCACTGTATTCGTTGTAACCACCGCCTCCTTGGTAGCGGTTCGCGGGTCTTCTGCGGTCGTGGCTGCTAGCGCGATCGAAGGTCGAAGAAGCCGTCGTCGTCAGATGCGAATGAGAGCGTGAATTCCTAGCTGTAGAAGTTGCGATCATAACAGGTGACTTTGTGTTGCGCGAGCGAGAGGGGGGGGTTTCTTTTTGGGGGGTGGGGGGAGGGTCGAGGGTGGAGGGCCGGTCGCGATTTGGAGGTTGAAGCTCCGTTTTCGGGTGGTGCACTTTAGAGATCGCGAGTGGCGATGGTGCGGGCGGGAGACCGGTTCGCACGATGGTTTCGTAGGGCGGTGGTGAGCGGTTAGAGGAGGAGTTTGGGGGAGGTTCTTTTTTCGATCGAGGGGGACGCTCTCGAAGGGGGTCGGCTCGAAGTGGTCGGCTCGGGTCAGGCAGGGTCGGGGTCGGGGTCAGTGTCCACACGCAGCGGGCGTGTCTGCTGCCTGTTGGGGGGAGGGAGGGAGGGGGGGCGAGCGAGCGAGCGAGAATGGCGACCAAGCTGAAGAGTTTAACCGGAGATCTGAGTTTCGAGTTTCGCAAGGAGGAGGAGCAAGCAACGACTGTTTCGCGACGGCAAGTTACGCGGCGCGGTGGGTGTGTCTGTTGTCCGTCCGTCTGCGAGTGTGTCTGTCCGTCTGTCGGTAGTATGAATTGTTTGGAGATGGTTGTGGACTGGGAGGCCGAGGCACGGTGGGTCGCAGTACGTCCGTCTACTGCTGTACCTGTGCAGAACAGCAGCCGTGCAGTGTAGGGTGCATTCAGGGAGAAGGAGAGCTGGCGCCAATAGGAGAAGGCGGGGTTGTCGACTCCTGGCAAAGCGAGTAGGTAGTGGGAGTGGGTAGCAGAGTAATAGTAGCAATAGCAGCCAACCAACAACGATCCTCGATATATGATTTGATGATTACCGATTGATAGCGGGTGCGGGGGGAGGGGGGGGGGAAGTGTGAGGATGAGTATGGAGTGGGGGGGGAGTGGGAGGGGGGGACGGGCGGGGAAACGTGATGAGGCGGGCGAAGCGGGCCTATCGAGCACACACGCAAAAGACAGGCAAAGATATATACTCCAGTCTATGTGGCCCAAGCGAAACGGAATCTGTTAGAGTGAGTGTGGCATGAAGGGCCGCACACAACACAGGTTGAGGACGGTGATGGAGGTGGATATGGATGTGGATGTGGATATGGATGTGGATGTGATGCGGATGTGGTGGATTTGAAGGGCTCAGGAGGAGGGCGGCGGGCGTTAACGGCGGTAGGATGGGATAGCTGAAGTAAGGGTTGCGGGCAGTCAGGCAAGCAGGCAGGCAACGAGGTTACTCTAGGCAGGCAGAAGTGTGAAGAAAGGGGTGAGGACGAAGATGACGACGCACGGCTAACTGCCACGAGACGATTATTGTTCAGTGTTCACACGCAGCACGACGCGCCAAAAGTCGACGTTTATTTGAGCACCTGGCGGAAAGCAAAGGCGAAAAGAAAGAAAAAGCGCCGGGTAGAAAAGAAAAAAAGCAAATCAATACGATGGAGGAAATCGGTGGAAAGAAGGAGTGAGCGAAAACGCCACTCTGCTGGAGAAGGTCTCTGACATCTTCCGGCCGCCATTTTGCCTCTCACGCTCGACGAAGCAACGGCTCGCGATCTGCCCGGTAAAAGCCAGCGAGAAACGGCTCCGAAAAAGCCCGGCTTATGAAGCCTTCAACACGATGACCTCTCTCCAGAAGTTTGGGCGGACGGGCCACACAACTTCAAAGTGCTTGAAACGCCTCGTCTGCGACTGAGAATCCAAACATCTGCATCTGCGCACCAGACACACTTTCCCTTTCCTCCCCAAGGATCCCCAAGGAGCACCGCGGAAATTTTCCTCGCTTCCTTCCTTCCACCATTCCTCCTTCCCTCCCTCCCTCCCTCCCACTCCCTCACGCGCTCGAATCGAAGTTTCTGCACCACCGACGCACAGACTGGAACACTTTTCCTTTCCCTTCCATCCTGCTGCGCGAGAAGGATGGGATCAAGTGAGGTGAGAACCGACGGGGAGGGATCGCATTAGCGCGTCCGTCGAGCGGACCAGTCCACCCAGGTAGTCCACCCAGGGAGTTGGTGGCGTGCCCATGCCACTGCCGCAAGCAACCTTCAGATCCCATGATAAACGATAACGTTCTGTAGAGTACCGTATTCTGTGTAGATACCCAACGAACAGGAACGAAAAGAAAATGGCAAGTGAGTGCGGCTGCTGCCCAGCGCGCGCACACACAAAGGGGGCCATTCGGCGGCGGCAATAGCGGTAACTGCCGGCGACCATTAGATAATGGCGAATCAGCTCGGTGGCAACCCCGATCCAGTCCATCATCCAACCGCTTGGCGAGGAGTGACAGCTTATGAATCCGCATCCGCATCCACGGCCACCACCACCTGCGCTCATCCTTCGCCACCAAGTGATATACCTAAGTGATATCACTGCATAACATAGGTTACCAAGATCACCTCTGCGACCCAATCTTGTCACACACACATCCCACACACATCCGCCGCGCCCCACCGCCGCCGCCGCCGCCTTCGCCGTCGCAATAGTCGTCTCCGGAAATGCAAATGCTACGGTATGTATTGCCTGATTAGCGTCAAACGTACACTCTATGCGATTGGTGCCCAGTACTCTACTTTTATGGCTGAAGATGTGTTTGCCAAAGTGTGCAGCGCTGAACTGCCGCCCGCCGCGGGAACTGCTAACTAGTGCCGCTGCCGCTGGCAGCTTTGTCGCCATGTACATATCCAGATTCCATCCACCTATCTATGCCGCAATAGCGCCAGGAAAAGCAATCCGCCCAAAGAGGCTGATACATATTATGCATAGATATCCTTCCTTCCATGTCCTTCCTTCCTTCCTTCCATGTCCTTCCTTCCATCCTTCCTGACTAGGCCGTTTGTGTGTGCGAGATCTTTCCTTTCTTTTTGGGTTCTGAGCTCATGCTTCTCATGCTTCTCATGCTTCCTTTGCTTTTCTTGCCTTTGCTTTTCTTGCCTTTGCTTTTCTTGCCTTTGCTTTTCTCATCTCCTGAGTCCTGAAGCAGCGCACAGATGTCTCGAGTCTCGACAGCTCGTCCATCTGGGGGGTTTTTTTCATCCCAACAAACACACCAGCCAGCCAGTTGGCCATATGAAAAGAGAGAGAGAGATATGGATAGGAAGAGGTGAGTACCGTATGCATCCGCATGATACCTACTCTGGGTATGTATTCCCACCTGCATCAGTACATCTAGAGTAGAGAAGAGTAGTGTAGAGTAGAGAAGAGTAGTGTAGAGTAGAGAAGAGTAGTGTAGAGTAGAGAAGAGTAGAGTACCTACAGCTGTGTTGTCTGGATCTTTCTTCTTCCATCTTCTTTCTTCGCTTTCTTCGCTTTCTTTGCTTTCTTTGCTTTCTTTGCTTTCTTTGCTTTCTTTGCTTTCTTTGCTTTCTTTGCTTTCTTTGCTTTCTTTGCTTTCCTTGCTTTCCCAGGCCGTCTCTCCCAACAAACGATAAACCCGCTCCTCCCCAGATTCCCCGGATTCGTCGTCATCCCCAAACGGCCTCATCCACTCACTCACCATCCTGCCTCAGCCACCACCCACCACCCCCGCGGAACCTCAGCCACATCTTGCCAAACCCCCACCAGCAAAGAAAGAACAAAAAAAAGCCACAGTCAGCTTCTCGAAGGGCTCGCTAGAATCGACCAGCCAGCCGGCCGGACATACCCGCATGGGCGTGGGGTTCATTGTGTGGTCTGGTGTGGTCTGGTGTGCTGTGGTCTAGTGTGGTGGGGGTCGGAGTGGGGGTCGGAGTCGGGTTTGGAGGCTCGGGTTTGGCCGTCGCGGTGACCGGTGGTTGATACTCTACCACCGGTATAGGTATGTGGTAGAGAATTGGAGGTAGAAGATACCTCCTACATAGGTCGCCGTTTTGAACCAGTGGGTGGTAGTACGGGCAGGTAGGAACGAAGGAAGGCAGGTACCTATACTCTACGCAGTGTGCGAACAAACCACATCCACTTCCCCGAATCTCTCACCCAGCTCGCACTCGCACCACAGCACCACATCGAACGACTACTACTACTAGTACTAGTAGACTACGACTTAGGTACGTCAAGCAACATCCCGTCGCCTTCGCCGTCGCCGCCGTTGTCCGTCAGCTCTCACCCGCTGTCTGTCGCGTCAGGCCGGGACTGGGGACATACTACCTACGGCCAGTCCGCTCATGCCTTGTCTATACCCCCCGCCCTAAGTCTCACGCCCACAGCCACCAGCCTGCCGGCAGCCGTACCAGCCCTCACACACTCCTCACTCATGCGTCATGAGCGCATCACTCGATACTCGACACCAAATGACCACCAGCTAGCAACCACCAACCGCGCACCCGGCATCTCGGCTACACTCTCCGAATTGTAGCACACATCCGCTTTCCATTCCCTTTCACTTCCGTTTCCCCGCGATACCCTAGATACCCTAGATACCTACAGACCTACATACCCACGTACCGATACTCCACCTATGCTGCCACGCTGCTACGCTGCATCGCCAACCAGTATGTACTTATGTACGAGTACAAAGTAGTTGCCGGATAGACGGATAGATGAGGGTGCATTGCGGTACCACAGTACATACACATACATGCACATATGTAGAGTACGTGGAGAGCCGGTAGATGTGGTAGATGTGGAGCAGGCGACTCGGTGAAGCAATGTAGGTAATCTACAGATGTATGTAGAGTATGTACCGCGCGCTCGCAACCACCACCACCACCACACTACGGGAGGTGAGGTGGATGAAGTACTATGGTAGGTACTATCGGTACTATGGATACTATGGGCACTAAGTAGGTGCTGTAGGTGTGTGCTATAGGTAGGTGTGACCGTTTCGTCCGGGAGTTTCGTTCGTTGGTTGAGATTCGTTGGTTGGTTGAGATTCGTTGGCGGACTCCGGAGCGACACGGCAGTGTTGCCCATCTCCTCCCCTCCCCTCCCCATCTACTCACCGCCTCACGAAAGATGCGAACCATATTTTTTCCGCACCGGGGCGGGAGGGGGGGGTGGTAGAAAAACGAGTGATACACCATGCCTCATAGCTCAGTTTTACAGAAAAAGATTCAATAGTTGATCGGGATTAACCTCACCGCCCCTCACCCCCCCCCCCCCCTTCCTCGCAATACTGGTGGGCGGTAGGTAGGTAGAGTAGAATATGTAGAGCAGAGTATCGCGATGGCGGATCTCAAATTCTCAATCTCTCAATCCGGGAAACCCCCCCCCCATTTTGCAGCTCTCTATTTACCGAAAGAAAGAAAGTCCACCGCACCCACCGCACCCACCCCGCCGTATCGACGGTAGGCACGGTAGGTGGGAGATCACATGCCCCCCCCCGTCCCCCCCGTCCCCAGCCCGCACCGCTGCCGAACCGTTGGCTCCCCCCCCCCACACCCGCCCCCGCAAAAAGCACACGATCGATCGATTGCGAGCATGCGGAGTACATAAGTTAACCTCAACCCAACCCAACCCAACCGCAACCGCAACCCAGGCCAACCCAATTGAACCCAATTGAACCCAACCCCAGCGCGACCGCAACCCAACCCAAACCCAGCGTGACGATGCGAACGATGCGAACGATCCACTCTGTCGTCCATTCAATCAAATCCAATACAATTCAATCCATTCAATCCATCTACTACCGGTAGTAGGTGAGTATGTAACGTGGACCTCCCTCCCCCCACACACACATCAGACACACACATCCTGCCATGCCATGTCATGCCATGCTATGCTAGTGATCAGATGAAGGCGGGCAGGCAGGCAGATTTCGCTGGCAGATTTTGCGGGATCGGTGCTCCCTTCCTTCCTTCCCCACAAAAAGGATATGCCGGTAAAGGGGAGTGAGTAAAAATAACGGTGACGACGGGACGGGACTTGAGATGGGCGGGACGGGGCGGGATGGGATGGTGAGGTACGAGTGATGGTCGTGAACAGTGAGCTTGACCGCACGCCGGATCCGTCGTGTCCTGCCCGTCGTGCCTGGCCAGCTTCGAGGTTACGGGCTTTAAGCTTTGGTATTCGGGCTTGCATCCACGAGCGGCCCCGGATGTGTATAGTAGAGCTACGGTACAGGTACCTACAAATACAACGTTCCTCGTTCCTCGTCCATCACGAAATCACAATCGACCGATCGACCCGCGTGCGTGGGATACATTTCCGGCGATCCATTGCATCGATACTTACACTTACCGTACTCGCCTTTTGGTTTCCCCTCCTATGTAAGTATGTAGTAAGTACCTACTTTTTAAAATATACATGCGTGTATGTGTATATGTGTGTATCGTATTTGTGTAGGTACCGTGCGCAACTGCAAGTCTGCAAGTCCGCAAATCAACAACGGCCCAGCGCATACCAGCCAGCCCAGGCCCAAATCTCAGAGGCCCGGTATGTATATAATAGTATATACGTTACCTAACGCATCCCACCACAAATCCACCACGCATCCCACCACGCCGTCCATCATTTCATCATTCGATCACCTGCCCGCCATCTGCCACCACCTGCCCACCACCTGTCAGCCACGCGACCGACCACTGCAGTGACTGCATTGCACTGCACCATCACTGTGACCGCAGACGGAAACGGGCCGAATGCAGTGCATATTTTCCTTCAGAGGTGCATATGGTACATATGGTACATAAGTAAGAAGTAGGTACCTACTTGGGTATCCCCCCACCCGCGTGGGATGTATGAATAGTAGTGTATAGTACACAAGTACTCAGTACATAATGTAAGTACTCTCACGGTCACGGTCACATGGTCACCCACTGCGGAACAAAAGGAAGAGGGAAGGAAGAGGGAAGGAAGGGAAGAAGGAAGGAAGGAAGGAAAGACGGGAGAAGGCAAGAGGAAGACGAGGCCCCACGTTTCTACATATTTATGTATAGTACCCACGTCCTCTGCCTATGCTAGATGCAATGTTCGGTATATGTATCTGCATACAGGCCGTGAAGAATTCATTTTCCTTCTTCCTTTTTCCTTTTGCCTGGCCTCTCCCACCCCGCTGTCCGTCTGTCCGTCTGTCCGTCTGTCCGTCTGTCCATTCATCCATCTGTCCATCCGTCTTCTCCCCGCCCGTGTACAAATATGTACAGAAAACGTCTTATATTCAGAAAACGTCTTATATACCTACAGACAATGACGCACCGGAAGCAGTTTTCTTCCTCTTCCTCTCCTCCCCACCCCTCGAGTCTCCTCTGCGTCTCCTCTCCTCTGCGTCTCCTCTCCTCTGCATCCGGACAGTTACTTTTTTTCCCTTTCTTTGCTTCGTTTTCTTTGCACCTAGAATCTAGCCCTTTTCCTTCCGACTTCCTGAAGTTTCTTCCGCAATAATCTTCTGCGAGATAAGGAGGAGGAGGTGGAGCGGCGGACGGTCGAGTGAGAGTCCAATCCACTCTATCCCCAGATATCCCCAGATATCGGAAACGGATGCGGAAGCGGAAACGGAAGCGGAAACGGAAATGGAGGGAAGGCTGAAGTACTCTAGGTACGGCAAAGGAGCTTGTTTACTCTACTATGTCCGGTTCGTGTATTTGCATAGATACATTGTATATGCATCCAGCTGCATCTTCTACTACAGGCATATTAGGCGTAGATATCTACATGGATTGAATACCTGCAGATATTTCCATAGGTGCTTAGACACTCCAGATTGCAATACGGAATGCATATCTGTTCTAGATTGTATCTACCTACATAATATGGAATGCATACGTAAGTAAGATGTATTATCCAGCAGCAAACTCCTCTCGAATCCATTTCCTATCCACAGCTGTATGGATGTATCATGTGCCATACACACCCATACCCATACCTCCCAGTAGGCACATACATACGGTACGGCCAGCACAGCGCACATAATTGGCCCACCCTAGGTACTCTAGGTACCCACTACCTCTGCACTCCAGAAAAACGGAAAAACCGGCACATCACAGGCTCACATCACAGCACATCACAGCAC